ACAGTACACGTGCTGTTGATTTCGAAAGCTAATCCTGCATGAATATCTTTTAAGTGGAGTATCAACCTTCTGTGTACTGTTTTATTCGGTAAGATATTATGTTTTACTCTCTATCTAGATTGTAAAACAAAACAAAGGAGAAGCGACGTACAATAGGCGAAACTTGGTTCTCGTTCGTTTGCGTACATTTGTGTTGTGTCCATATCGGTGATGTTATAAGCGTGCGTTATACTTGTTGATTTAGATGACCAGCAACCAATGGCAAAAAGACGTAAAACATAAGTTTGAATATCCTGTTTTGAAATGCATTTTTTTGCTACAGTTTATTCGGTTAAGGGTTAAACAAATTTTAAAACAGTGTGTCGTAGCACTTGGAAACCAATACCGCTCATGAATAGCTCAGTCGATGAAAATGTTGTTTACGTTTACCTTGTCATAGTCTTATTTTAGGTTTTACGAAGCGGAAAACCTAAAGCGTGGTGAACAGCCTTTAAACATATCAGAAATTCTTTGCCGGTAATTTTCGCGTTTAGCAAACGGCAAAATAATTCAAGTGTATCTTACCAGAACGGTCACGATATGTTGAATTAACATCGGTAAAAATGCGTTGTATGGAATGCCAATTGTGACTGGGATTTGCCTGCAGAGACGAACAGTTATTACTGTTCTGAAGCGACAGTTGTTATTAAATGAGAACCACTTTATCTTTATCGTTTGTGCGAGCTTTCATTTAATCTAATTATATTATCCATATCCGTGCTTGGAAAGTGAGCAATCGGTGATTTTGGTCGTGTTTATTAAATTATCTTACTGTAGGTGAAAACCGAAATTTAAATGGAGCAGCTGGTTACTCAGTGTCGAAATATATTAATCTTTATGGAATGACTCAAAAATGTATAAAACGTGTATTTGCTTGCTTGGGTAGCTATGTCAGTCAATGTGCCATTTACTGGTGTTTATGTTTATCTGGAACAAAAGAAAGTATTATTTTAGTCTGCTAGGGCAAGGCAAACATAGCGTGGAATTGATTTGTTCTTTGACAGTTGTTGTCTCAGTATATTAATATAATAAAGCAAATGAAATATTTCATTAAATTGGTAGAGAGGATCTTATAACTGCATCAAAAAGTCAAAGGTATCATTGATGCTGGTCACAAAGTTATGAATTAGCATATGGTTAGTTCATATCTGTATTGAGTGCAGTTTTTCTTATGTTTGTATCTGTAATCCCTTGCCTTGCAAATAAAAATAGTTTTCTACTGTATGTCTGAATCATTGTTTCTCTGTGGTATTTGCATGTTAATATCCTCACCATTTGTTTTATATATCAGTCACATTAAGGATGATAGTCTGCCAGGAGATCATTTACCAAAATAAGAATAAAATATTTGGTTAATTAATACCAAGTATTTCTGTTATTGTGTTCACAAAAGACTTTCTCAGCAAGCAATCTTTATCACAGTTGAATCATTTTCATAAGTGACCCCCTATTGGCATGCATGCTTGCATATTTTTGCACTCATAATTAAGTCGCCTAGTTTCATTAACCAGGCTCCCAAAAGGGGTTGCAATTTGCAATTGGTCTGCAGGTATTCTGTAGGAGTAGCTGGCTAAGCCCCTCTTAGCCAACTTAAGACATGAACCCATGATAGGTGAAGGAGTGGGGGGACGGGGGTATTGTTAACCTCTCTTCCTTTTCCCTTTGATTGGAGCCAATTCCATCATCTGCATGTCTGGTTATTTATTTCCTGACTTTGCTGAGTGCATAATGATAAGGACACAAATTGGAGTGCCCTACAAGGTCCACACACGTGGTAATATTACTGAACCCTGCACCCGTAAAAAAATACATGTAAAACAAAGGAAAGAAGTGGCTTTAAGGGACTCTTAATCTGACCTGCTAGTCTCTGATGCTCTTGCTACTTACCGTGACATTTGTAAGCTGTTTATTCCTATACACATAAGGCTGATTCTTTTCCAGGCATCTCTTTACTAATCAGGTAATATGCAATTTACTATTAGATTAGCCTGTTCCAGGCTCTAAGATAGTAATGTGAGAAGATCATGTAAACTGATGTGAACGAAATGCAGGTTTCCTACCACCGTCCCCTATCCCAGATCACACACATCTTATTTTTGCAAAACTTGTTTTCACTATCTGAGAGCCTGGCACAGGTGACAATTAGTTGTGTTTTGCTCCTGCAGAGCTGGAGCATATTAATATCTTCAGCCTACACAGTTCGTCAGTGTATGGCTTTTCTACTTGTTTTGGTGATGTTCTATCTGTAGAAATGGACATACACACCATAACCAGGGAAGTTTTCCTCTCGCATAATTGGTTAACAAACAAAGATCCAAAAGTAGGTTGAGTTTGATCGTCTGGGTGAACGTAGTCCTGAATAGGACTGTTGTTGTTGACAGTGACTAATGTTTCAACAACCTTTGCGGTAGTCATCTTCAGAGTCAAAGTGAGTTGTATCACGTCAGTTGATGGTATTATACTCTGGTTATTGATCTGATTGGTCAAAATCAGTACATGTATTTGACCAATCAGATCAATAACCAGAGTATATAATACCATCAACTGACGTGATACAACTCACTTTGACTCTGAAGATGACTACCACAAAGGTTGTCGAAACGTCAGTCACTGTCAACAACAACAGTCCTATTCAGGACTACGTTCACCCGGACGATCAAACTCAACCTACTTTCAAATGACTCCTGGGTTTGAACCTTTCACAAACAAAAATCCATGAAGCTAAAAAATTTGAAACCTGTTAAGGTCCTTTTATTTGTGTCAGTAACTCGAATAACAATACTTTAACTAAGAAACCTGAGTTTGCCAATGTGCTCATCTTACACCCCTCTCTCCATCAATGCCGCATTTTACAGGTATTTAAAGCTACCTAACGCAACCTGCAAAGGAAAAAGTCCAAACAAGGATTTGAGGTCACACCTACAGGGAATCAAACTCAGAACATCCCACACAGTACAGAGAGCCATGCACTAAAGACTGTGCTATTAGGCCTTCAATATCTAGGCAAGATGGAGGGTTTAATTTGCAGGTATGCAGGTGTGACTCTTGATCCCTCAATAGTTATGATGTAACTTGAAGCCGGCTTGCCCTTTAATACAATTCTTCAACCTTCAGTTTCACCCTAACCTGCAAATGTGAATTAAACACAGTGTAGGCAATATGATGACAGGTGCTTTTTTTGGCCATGGTGAAAGCTTGTGCTCCATAACATGTTACTAATACCCTCTCATTTCCATACCTATCTTCTTGAAACCGATACCCAACACAGCATCTTTGAAGGGTTAAATTTCAAGTAGTACCGATACTCCTATTATAAGAAAAACAGGGAACAAGACTAGCATGAAATTCAACAAAATTTAATAGTGTCAGCAGTGTGACAAGAGTAAGCTGTGATTGGCGATCACAGGGAAAAATAACGGATTCCCATTTTTGGATATTTTAGGGTATTTAAAGAATACCCACAAAAATCCCAAATTTGGAAGAGTGAGACAAGTCCCAATCAGGGAACTTGGTTGGGAATTCCCTGATTGGGACTTGTCTCACTTTGCCAAATTTGGGATTTTTATTGGTATTCTTTAAATACCCTAAAATATGCAAAAATGGGAATCCGTTATTTTTTCCTGTGGATACAAACACACTTGAAAAGTTTACTTGGAATTAATTTACATGCTTTGAGATAAACTTTTTTAATGATATTTGAAATAAATCATTATTATGAACTGCGGAAATGAGATGAAAATAAAGAAATGATCGTCGCAGTGAACGCAATTTATGCAATTGCATAAAGAAGCCTGAAAAAAAAAAAATTCAGAACTAACCTGTGACCTTGCGATACTGGTCCGATGCTCTACCAACTGAGTTATGAAGCCTCTGACATTTGGAGCAGGTCAATTGTGGGTTCATATGTTCCCGTGAAAGAGATGAGTGTTAATGATATATGAAATAAATCATATATGAACTGTGGAAATGAAATGAAAATGAAGAAATGATCGTCGCAGTGAATGCAATTTATGCAATTGCGTAAAGAAGCCTGAAAAAAAATTCCGGACTTCAACCGGGTTTGAACCCGTGACCTCACGATACCGGTGCAATGCTCTACCAACTGAGCTATGCAGCCACCATTGAAGTCGTGAATTTTTTTCTCAGGCTTCTTTACGCAATTCCATAAATTGCGTTCACTGTGACGATCATTTCTTCATTTTCATTTCATTTCTGCAGTTCATATATGATTTATTTCGTATATCATTAACACTCATCTCTTTCACCGGGAACATATGAACCCACAATTGACCTGCTCCCAACATCAGTGGCTTCATAGCTCAGTTGGTAGAGCATCACACCGGTATCGTGAGGTCATGAGTTCAATTTAAGCCCCATTGAAGTCATTGTGAAGTCCTGAATTTTTTTTCAGGCTTCTTTATGCAATTGCATAAATTGCGTTCACTGCGATGATCATTTCTTCATTTTCATAAACTTTTTTGTTGGTTTAAACAATCCTCATAACATTTCAGAGGTAATCATTCTTAATTCTCCACACTACCACCCTGTCCCCCAACCGATCCTAAAATCATATTACCGCGTTTGTCTGCTACTCTACTTTTACTACAGAAGGAGAATTTTTGTTGAGAAATATATGACACATCACTGGTCATGCGGACAATCATGCAGACCCTTTTCAAGAAGTCCGTCACTTGGAATAAGATCTGGCATACTTCGCGTACCATATTTAACGTACATATTGACAACACATTATCAATACGTGGCATCGACAAAATACTCTCCTCTAGGGAGGAGGCATGCTTATATTAATTTTGTTTCACGCAGTTACTGATTTTTTTTGTTTTAACAAGTCAAGCTGCTTTGTGCTAAAAAAAATATTAAATTTCAAACAAAGAAAGAAGGATAAATAGGTAAGATGAAGTGTTAAGAAATATCCCGTTTTGTCCACAGGCTGTGTCTGGATGACACTTTCCCCTCCCCAGACAGTTTCTCGCTGGCCGCATTTTCCGGTTTTGGAATTTCTACACGGAAAGCAAGCAACAAATTTGCAGACTGAAATCCTGAGACCTGACCATAGAATGGCAAGACTGACAAGCTTACAGTGGGAGATGAGAGTGCTAGGATGTATACTGCTTGTTTACTTTTCAACAGGTACAAGATTCTATCGCATGAATATTTTAAAGCAAGTCTAACGGGCCGCGTCTTTTACAAGCTTGTCAAATTTTAAACCGCTGAGATTTTCAGTGATTTGACAGTCTTGTCTTTTTCATGATGGAGCTGATTTTGTTCTATTGATAAATTAGATTGAAGTGATCAAGGCTTTTCAACCCCCATCGTCACTAATTGTAAAGTTATTATAACATTTTAAAAGGGATGGCCACATGACAGAGTCGTCTGAAAACGATATCAGGCGTTGTGCAGTTTTAGTTTGGAGTATTTTGAATCGTTACAAACAATGGCAAGTAAGGAATAAAGAGAACTATAACACGCAAAATACTTTAATGACCAATGATGCTACAAGAACAGGTAGAAAAGAAAAACACGACAACAACACCAAGGAAAGTTTATTTAAATAATCACTTAATTTACTCATTATCTGTGTGTTTCTTGTTTCTTGTGTGTGGTTTATGGGCCAATTCATGGCCGTGTAATGGTTTTTAGGGTGGATATAGGAAAGGAAAGGACGTTTAACAGAGAAATCAAACTGGTTTCACTAAAACTTATTAAATGACCATAAATCAGCTCAAGAACTACACAATTACAGTGTGACTACTGTAACCGGGGCCACCTAGACAAAGTTTACCAATTGGATTACAGGAAAATAACAGTACATTCTGAGAAAGTTAGTTGTTAGTCACAATAATATCACAACGAAACCGAACCATCAACATGGATCGAAATCAGGCAGTTATTAAAACCCCCCAGGGGCCCCACTCACATATTTTAATGACGGGGGGGTCTGAAGGATTTTTTTGCGTCTGACATTTTGGCCAAAAGGGGTTTTTTTTTGGGTCTATGAAAGACGCCGGGATTTTTTTGGGTTGCGAAAACAACAGAGGGATTTTTGGGGGTGTTGTATTTTTCATCAGCTCAAATCAAAAATAACATAAGCGCAAATTTATAGTTTTGTTTTTGACCAAAACCAAAGTTGAAGTTGGCATGTTTTAGCTTTCCAGAAGATAAATAATTAGCCTGAGTATCAGGCGTTTCTGGGGGAAAAGGGGAAAGATGGAAACGAAAAAGGGAGAGAGTATCAGGCGTTTCTGGGGAAAAAGGGGAAAGATGGAAACGAAAAAGGGAGAGAGCTGAAGGAAAGAAACGCCTGACACAGATGCTTTTACTGTAGCCTTCCACCCCCACACAGCATGATTCGATGCCATCCAATCAAAATCACATCCGGTCATTGCGGTTGTCAGCTTCACCTGTCAAAAAGCTCGCCTAAAATAAATCTCACCTAACGATCTGGCTTAGCTCCGGTGCTTGTGTTGCTACGATTTCGCTTTTTCTAAAACCTCCAATGAGCAGTTTTCGAATACTTGTAATGGAAAACCTGCCGTTTTTGAGGAATTATAACATGTTTTAGGAATTGTGCTAATGTAAGATCGCCAACGCTCTGTTTGTAAATAAACGTGTGCCCGGAAAACTGTAAATTGCTTTTGTTTACAGAGTTACAACAGCGGCGCGGTTAATAATCAGTTTCCTGAGAGTCTGGCAGCCAAAAAGCTGATGTAGATCAGGCCGAAAATCGTCCGAGGGAAAATCTAAAGTCAAGCTAAAGCCTTGGTGCTGTGGAAAATCTAAAGTCAAGCTAAAGCCTTGGTGCTGTCGGCTATTCTCAATACATGGCTACCTCGCTCTAATTTTATTTACAGTAACAATACCCTTTTAATGGCAGGATGTTGTTTTGTCCCGGTCTAGTGAAACTAATGCTCGGACATAGTTTCGGCAGAAGCTGGTATATGAGGCTTTTCCATACTCCGAGAACATCTTCCCTTTTAACTACGAGGCTTTGAATTTTTGCTCGGGTTTTATTTTTATTCCCGGAAAGAACTTGAGAGCGCCCTCTAGAGCCTCTTTGAATTCCTCTCTGCGTCTCTATCCATAAACTTACCACATGAAATCAAAACACTGTGCTCGTGTTTACTTGCGGTCGGTGACGTCAGGGCGTATTGTGTGTTATCCAATCACTGCCACATCCAGATTCTGGATGTGTCACACGATTTGCTGAATGGTTTTGTGTCAGGCCTTCCTTTCTCTTCTCCCTCCTCCCCCCTCCCGCATCTAAAATCTCCTCTCCCCTTGCTTCTTAGGAAGGCCTGATACTCAGGCTAATAAATAATAAAATTTGCTGGTGCAAAAACACTGAGGGATTTTTTTGGGTATGCTAAAAAAAGTAGGGATTTTTTTGGGTAGACAAATTCTGAAGTTGGGATATTTTTGGGTATAAAATATGAACCTCTGTCGGACCCCCCCGTCATTAAAATATGTGAGTGGGGCCCCTGGGTAAAACCCACAGTGAGGCGCAACCTTTTGAACCCACTGAAGAAAGCCTGTGTTTCCTGAGAGGTCCATTAGAGTGAATGACTCAGGCGAAAAACGTAAGCGTTAGTAATATTTTTGACTTGAGGTAGCATGTTAAAGCAAAGCGCGGCAATGGTAGCAAAGAAATTGCTGGTAGATGACAAAATACAAGCTTGTGTTAAATAAATATGTCTCCTGGGTGTTGTATGTAATGTTTTGAAAGAAAACCATTGTCTGGTAAAACAATTTGCTTCCTTGAAAAACGTTTCTTATTGATATTTAAATTTTGTAGTTCGAGTAACTTATTTTTTTTCTACGAGCTGCTGATTGGCCCTCAACCAACTTTCTTGGAATGTATTGTTATTTTCCTGTAAATTATACGCGCCGATTGGTCAATTTTGTCTCAGTGGCCCCGGCTACAGTAGTCGCACTGTAACAAGGAACATACCATAATTATTGAACCAAAGTAAGTACAGTGGAACCTCAATATAACAAAGGAGGTTTTGTTATTTCCAGGTTTTTTTCCATATATTTTACTATCACTGGGGCGAGAAATATGGTTTGTTATATTGAGGACTCCATTATGTAGAGGTTCATTGAAGCCCCTCCATGTATAAGCCCCTCTTAATATAAACCCCTCAAACCCGTAATGCAAAAAACCCTTCATTAAATGGCCCCTCCGAATATAAGCCCCTTGGGGGCTTGCACTTGAAAACAGTGCCCTCAAATACAAAGTAAAACAAAGAAAAAACGGTAAATTTCCTTCGAACTATAAGCTAGCCTAATTGATTTTGAAACACAAATTTCCCTCCATACATGCCCATCTGAATATAAGCCCCTCCAAAAAGAAGCCCCTCAAAAAGGGCCTTTGAAAAAATTCAAGCCCCGGGGCTTATTTTCAGAATTTTACTGTAAGTTCCACTGAAAATTCCTTGAGTGGAGCAGGCATTGTGCAGTCGAAGTGGTGAGTAAGCACGTACCACCCACCAATGTGACCTGGGTGCAAGCAATAGCATCAGTTGCTCAGTGTATAATGTACATTTTAAGCCATATATCTCAAAAGTAGCGACTGCAATGGCCACTGTAAATTAGAAGGATTTGTATGAGAAAAACAACTCTTACCACCCAGTCACTCTTGAGTGGTTTTCTATAAAACTCCTTGTAAATTCTGAAATTTTTAAAGTAATATATCAAACATGAGATGCAGTGTTTCATCACCAGATGAAACACCGAGAAGAGAGTTGAAAATACGACGCGCAGCGGAGTATTGTTGACGAACTTCGAGGTGTTTCATCTGGTGATGAAACACTGTGTCGAATGTTTGATATTTCTTCTCAAACAAAATCATTTTTGAAGGAGAAATTAAGGATGCAAATACTAAGCAGTGTTTCATCCGATTTCCAAACACTCATTAAACATTAATTTCCTTTGTATTTTCTTAATGAATTATTAATGAGTTTGAGAACTATTGTTAAATCTTTCGCTTACACATTTAAGGGCTCAAAGTGCCATTGATTAAAAGGAGATTTCAGCCCCGTAGTGCTTAAGAAAATATTTCACAACAGTTTGAAAGTTTCGAAATTTACCAGGATTGGTATGGAAAACCATTCAAGCTTGACTGAGTGGCAAGAGTTGTTTTTCTCATACAAATCCTTCCAATTTTTGGCAGCCATTGCAAAATCGCTACCTTTGAGATATACAGCTGAAAATTTACAGGTTACCTAATTTTAATATGCTCTTTCAGGTAGTGCTAACAAAATTTTTCAAAAGCAAACTGTTGATCATGTGATCAACTAATGCCAGATTGTAGCCATCTTGAATTCCAGTTTGAACTACAACATAAACAAACCTATATATTTTTGTATATTTTTAGTCATTTTGGAATAGTTATCTTTTCTCAGAATTTCTTTGTCTGTATAATAATTTTTTGTAATCTTAACAGGGACAGTTTCTTCTGAAAGTTCCATAGTACCTGTGATCATCACATCGCCTGCAACTGCTGACACTAAATCTACCAGTAAAATTGCATCTACAACAGTATCGCCTACTACAACATCATCAACTACTCCAACAAGTACAACTTCCACTCCTCCTCCAAAAGCCTCTATTGTCCCCACTGCAGCTCGAATCTCAAGTGGCAGAAAATTTGATGGTGCTTCGTTTATTGGTGGAATAATTTTGGGAATGGTTTTGACAGCAATTTTTATTTTGGCCTATAAATGGTGGCAAAAAAGAAACAAGAGCTATCACAGCTTGTGATCAGTGAGGTGATTGGGACAATTTTTCACGAATGAGTGCTTAGTGCATAGAGCTCAGATACTTTCTTATAATTTTTACTTTCATGGTTTCATATTGTGCTGGTGCAATATTATTGTATACCACTTAACGACTGTTATGTAAAGTTAGGTAAATAATCAATTTTCTACTGTAAGCAAACACGTAGCGGTAACTTATAACTTAGGTATAAATTGTTTCACATTTTATAGTTTAATAATTGATGGTCTTGGATGTTGTTTAAATTGCTATGCTATGAAGTTGTATTTTTGATAGATCAAAATTACAGGGATTTGTTGGGGAGGTTGATTTCCTCCAATGAGGATCAGAGATTGTGTGATGAGCCAAGAGTGTCTGCTTGGTACGCCAGGTTAATACAGGTTTCCCTGTAGTTTGAATTAAGATATTAGAATTTTTATTGTTTACACTTTTACTTCTTTTCAACAGTTTATGAACTAACAGTATAACTGACAATTCACACATAATTAAGAGAACAAAGCCCCTGCACGTTTTCCGCATTTCTTATGTTTGAACGACTTTTCACTTTCACCACTATCTCGGAGCCTGGAACAGGCTAAAGTTAAGTTGGTCAATGCTAGGTAACAAACAGTATGTTATAAGCTTCTCTGGTTTTCTAGAAATTAGCCTCTGGGGCAATATAGGATGGTTCATACTTAATAAAATCAAAGTTAATGGCAAATAAAGTGTGATATTTTAAATAAAATAATTTTGTAGTAATTCATTAATTGTGAGATAATTTTGCAAGGGGTCAGTGTTGTAGCTGACTCAGTAGGAGCCAAAAAAAGACAAGGGCACCTCAGGCAGTGCATTGTATTTTCACGGAGTTCTCAAGATCTTGTGGGCTACAGATCAAGCTAGAATATAGGTGTGTCAAAGGTTTTCTGAGGAGAGGTGAAGACCATGGAGCACAAGGAAAAACAATCTCATCCCACAAGTGACACAGAGCTGACACCCTAAGAAAACAGCCGACATTTCGCATCACCACCACTGGTTTCCCTGTGAAATGATGTTTTAAAAACAAGGGCAGACATTACATACTGATGATGCAAGACAACCCAGATCTTTGTTGGTTGAAGCAAATTTTCAGCCAGTCAGAACCACCACCCAGATCTGGGTAGTGATGCGTCATCAGTATGGAATTTCTGTGCTTGTTTCTCAGACGTCATTTAGCAGGGAAACCACAAGTGGTGGTGTCACTAGCCTGCATGACAGGCGCTTTATGAGCCAAGCGGGGCGAACGCGATATTTCGCACGGAGCGCGACACGACCTCATCTCGCGCTTCGTGCTCGTGCTCGCCCCGCTTGGCTCATAAAGCGCCTGTCATGCAGGCTATGGTGTCACTAAATGTAAACTGTTTTCTCTGGCTATCTTACCTGTTTTTAGTAGCAAAACAGGGGCAATATGCCATTGGAGGGATCTTGTTTCTATCCTATGCACTACTCGACTTGCAGGTGTAAAGGACAATCATCATTAACAATGACACTTCGTAATTTTTTTTTTATAAATATAGGTGCACACTATTATTACACACGAAAACTTACACCAATAATTTGTTTAAGGAAACTCTTCTTAAAATGAAGTCCCAATTTTTTATTGCAACAACTCAGACAAATTTACAGATTTTGTTAGAGGAATGCCAACTTTTTACATAAAAAATTAAAAAAATTTACATAGACCCTTTCTGCAGTAAACTCTTCAAAATTATAAACTACAAAACTTCCATGCAGTTCACGCAAGGTAGCCGGTGTACTGCTACCACCTCCCCAAATATCCAAAATGATGTAGTGCCACCACATACTAACCTCATTACAACAGGGAAACATGACTGTATTGGAATCCTCCAAAGCATTTTTGCTAAAATGCTCTAGTTAGAGCCAATTTAAGGCTGAGAATAACTGTATAAATGTATGTGCTGTACGAGTGCCATGTTGGCCCATCAATACCTTTTAAAACTCTCCAAATTAAAATAAAAATATTCATTTAAAAATGATAATAATAATGTGAATTATCTCTGAACACAAAAGGGGGTCACTATAGTTCTTCAATAATATCATTGTAAAAAGTTCTTCAGTTAAAATACTGTTAAATAAAGTTGATGATGATGATAATGATGATGACGATGATATTATTATTATTATGGCAGTGCGACACAGGCGTCCCTTTTCCCAGTTTTTATTTTTAAAGGAGGCGGCATAGGGCAGCTGTATGCATTGCAGGCTAATGTAAGACACTTATGGCAAATGCCATGTATAACTATTAGTAGATATAATTGTACAAAGAGAAATATTAAAGACTCCTTACAATAACAAAATTATTTGTGGTTAAATATAATAAAATAAATAATGAAGTTTACTGCAGTTACATATTACATTGTTAAGGAGCCAAACTGGATCACTGCACATCGTAGTTGTAGCATTCACTTCCCTTTCTCTCTGAAGTAGTCAGCTGTCAAACAAGGCACAGAGATTTACATGTAAGTGAAGCATGATTTCAGTATGAAATTTCTTAGCAGGCCATGACCTTATAAAGGAATTTATGCAAATTTGGCCTCATTTTCTATATTGCTGGTTGGAAATATTACATACTGTATCTATGAATCACCTTTACAATACTCTAATCTTTTGAAGTATATTAAGCAATTAACTTCCCCACCAAAAAAATATAATAAAATAAATAATGAAGTTTACTGCAGTTACATATTACATTGTTCTTGAGTCTAGATTATTAATTCACATCAAAATCTTGCAAAGGGTTGAAGCAGAAAAAATATCTCATCAGTTATGTCACAAGAGGCATTTTAATGCCAATGTGTCTTGCAACAGAATTTAGATAGCAGATAACTTGCAAAAAGGTGTTTTGGGGACATTGTGGGGGAGGGGGGTGGGGGAGAATCAGGGTGGGGTCAAGCAGGGCAGGGTTAATGTGAAGACATAAAGAGGTAGGGAGATAGCAATATCTCATGATCAGGCCATGGACTGAATAGATGGCTATATTCACAAGCAAAACAAATTTAAAGCAAGGTTTTCTTGTCATGGAACATGTAATAATGTTGAGCCTTCATTCTGAAATCAAGTTATTGTTCTAACTTAGAAAAAATTATATCCTGAAGAACTTAGTCCTGTAGTAAAATAGATAATAAAAAATCTTGGATTAATTTGAAAATTTTAATCCAGGATTTTATTAGCACTAAATTAATGACCCTATCAGAAACCATAAAAGGCACAGCTCTGTGATATTAATACACTGTGTTATCAATTGCAATATTGTGTAACTCACCCAATTTTTCTACAGCCTCCACACAAATACTTGGACTCATTTCAGGGGTATATGTGGCCACCAATAATAACGTAGCTGTTCGCACCAAGATTATCCCCATGTTTTCCTTATCATAGACACAGAAGAAAAAGAAAATAGTTTTGTTTCTCCTGGTTGATTGCCACTATATTTTGAGTTCTACTGTGAATTTGTGGCCTGACAACTTCTGTTTTTTTCATACATAATTTGGAAAAAAATACTGAAAGAGCCGTAGTAGTACCACCGTTGAAAACACCTTTCAACATCTCCTTTAATATGCTTTTACGACGTGTATTCTTTTTTCTTGTTGTTGCTGTTGTTTTTGTTTATTGTTTTATATATAATTATTGTCACTGTAATTATCTTTTTATTTTTCTTCTGGAATCCACATCATGTGTCCTTCACACTGATGACCTGCTATTATGTGGTACATAGTCAATAATGTTAGACAATGATTTCTGTAAATTTAAAAATTACTGTCAGTAGTTGTTTTGTGATTTTTTTTAAAATTAATAATAAAAAATAGAAAAAGAGGGAGTATCAAATTACCATGTCAACTAATCAGACCTTCTGACCAGAATCTGAGGAGCTTTGGGAAAGCCAGAACGGGCGAATTTTGAACATGAAATAAAATTTTCTCTCGAGTTTTTGCTCAAGTTAACACCTATTACTACTGCCATGCATAGTTATTATGAGGAGGAACGTCTGCGACTCAGCTGCAGAAATTCCATACTGATGACGCAAACCAATTTTTACATAACAAATCCAGTAGTCATGGAGTTTTAAATATAAATTTGTCCAATATTACATGTCTTCTGGTCGATTTTGGTAAAGTGTTGTGTTCATCTTCCAACGAGCTCCAGCAAAACTCAATGCTTCTTCTAGAGAAGACTATATTCCACAAATATTGACTGTTTTGTTAGAGATTCTTCGCGTTTACATTTGACCTTTGTGGCCTTTTGTCTTTTGTCTGTCATTCGTAAACAATAGCTAAAACAATGTAACTACTCTGTCGACCAATCAGCGCTTCTAGCCGGATTCCGGACAGATTTTACGTTATCAGTATGGAATTTCTGTCGCTGAGTCGCAGACGCTCCTCTGCGCGAAACATCCCCATCGGCGAAGAGTGAGGAGAAACGCATGTTTTCGCAGGTTAGAAGGTACCATTTTTTGCATCTGATCATGAGTGTGGACATCTGATGGAAAAACGTGTTTTAACTGGGTGCAAGTAATAATATCATGTTTCACCACCTTAAAACATTTTTTAAGTTTGAAATTAAGGGATGCAAAGAATTGTCCAGTCACCTGGAAAGAAGGCGACTGTTTGGTGGCTTTAAGTGTACATCATTTTGTAAAATCTGAGTTTTGCTCACTCGACAAAATATGCATGTTATATTACTCCACAGAATAATAAATTCTTAATGCCGATTGTGCAGTTTCTAAACAAGAAATGATCGGATAAAACAACTAAAACTGATAGGTGCAGCCAATTGACAGACTTTATATGTCTGAACTTTTGCCCTTGGATTAGCTTTGTCAACAATCAACAATTTTGGAATATCTTCAAATTAATGAGGCTAACAAGAAAAGATTTTAGGGAATCTTTCATTCGATAATTAAATCATGCAATCTATCCCTGGTCAAGTAATAATTATAAAAGAAATATAAAAACACTTTGTTTGCCAGTTTACAAAGCAGGACAGCAGAAAAAAAAAGAGGATGGCAAAACATCCAGGTAACAAATATGACAGAAATATGACTTGCATGTTTTGTCTTGACCTTTCACTTAACATTACTCTGTTCTGTTCTGTTACAAAAAGATCATTTTAAAGGAAGGTGAAGTTTGGTGCAAATATTTTCCAAACATTATTAATGTCACACTTGTCACACAGGTTTAATGTCTTCCTTCTTCAGCTGTCCTACGTTTGTGTAAGTTCCTTTTTCTCTTGGGCCGAGTTGTTCAAAGCTGAGTTAAGATAACCCAGGGTAATAGTGCTACATTAAAACTCAGAAATAAAAGCCATAAAAGTAAATTTAGTTATATTCTTTTTGTCTACAAGATAGAGTGCTCCAGAATAAATGGAGAAATTAACAAAGAAAATGCTTTTCAACAAAAGAAAAAGAAACCCGCATTAAAATGACCCCGGGTTAGCACTAATCAGCTTTCAAACAACTGGGCCCTGACGCTTAAAGGCATTAACATCAGCAGCCTTGGTAGTACAGTCTCTGAGTCATCTAAAGAAAAATTGAAAACAACGAAAACAACGCTATTAATGGCACTACGCAAACAAGGTGCATTATGGGAGATGTGCAATTTGGGGAAATTTCTTGGCCATCTTACTTTCTTGGCATAAACAGAGAATCTGTCAGCTCTCACACATTCATAAACTGTATCCTGGAACTTCAAACCTTCTCTTCTGGCAAGTGAGCTGTTTGTAAAGCAATGAACTAATGCATGGATGTTATCCAATGAAGGCTGTGAAGAAATAAAATTGTACATTCAGTTTATGAGAAACATCATTCCGCCTCGTATTGAAAAAATTTGCATGTGAGCTGGGCAAGCTGTTCATATTAATTTCCCTGACATAAATACTATAAACTTACGCTTACCGAAAATCCAACTGTACTCGCTCGCAGCGAAGTGTCCTTTCGCCGAATGATAGCACAATGTTGTATGTGGCCCGTTGCTATCAACGAATCGTGAAGAAGGCTTTGCAATTGATTCATTGTTAATTTGAGGAAATATTCTGCAATAATCCTTCAACTTTTGGTAAAATCCACATTGTGAAGGTGGAAATGAATCAAAAAGTGAAAAGTACAGTGGAAGCCTTGAAAGAATGGTCCTCTGAGATGGATTCAAACTGTCATGGTGGCGCGTGTGTGGTTCTCTTACAAGTCAATCTTACAAGGCACAAAATACTAACAGGGAGTAGGGTAAGGGACGACGAAGGTAACACTCTCCCGTTACTTGCCATACTCTTTCCACGAAAATTTCAAAACGTAAAAATAATTCATTGTTAAAACCTTCATAAATGAAAAAAGGAAGAAGAAACAAAACAAAAAAAAAACTAGCTTGAGTGGACGAACTAGCAGAAAGTTTTGAATTTTACTGAGTCATCCCCGGAAGAAAAATGGAAACACAGCTGACTGGTTGCCAAGGGAACCATTCATAATTTACACGTGAAGGTTTCGAGTCAAGCAGTGATATTTATTTCTTTGTGGTAACTTGGTTATTGATCGCAATCTGTTTGAGGAGGAAAGCTTTCAGGTCAGCAGAAAGTCATTTAGGCAAAGAAGCAAGTCAAAAGGCATGTCTCGGCCAAAACGAGCCGTTAGCGGCCGTATTTCCGTACATACTTTTGACGTTGTGGATGAACTTCTCGAGGACAACGACAAACACGAATTGGCGAAGGTGAAGATAAAGTAATTTATAGCTGTGTCATTCCCACCTTTAATAGATATATAGCGGTAGAATGAGATCAGTTTTTTTTAGAGTTTTTAAAGTATATTTCAATCAGTTGTGATCAGGAACACTGTTTTACTACAGGAGCGTCACAGACGAGCAGCGTCTGCTTCTGCAGTTGAGCGAACGAAGTTCCTGGATTCAGAAGTGAGGACTGTGAGTGCCAAATCCATTTGCCCTTCTGATCATACGTTCAGGATACAGAGCTGGCTAAATGAAAAATCCGTCAGAAATATTCAGGTATAAGCTTAAGTAACGTTTTGTCTATTGAATTCGTGTGAACCGAAAATTAGTTAAGGATAAATTTATGCAACGTACGTTCTGCATCAACAGTCTGAAATGGAAAATTATCACTGTGCAATAGACTGTCGAGATTATGATAAACAGGGACTTTTTAAGAGCAAATATTACGACCAAGACACCAGTTGAAAAAAAATTCATATATCCTGTGTGTCAGAGTTCTGGGGTGAAATATAATTAAAAACAATAACTTTATTTTGTAAACAGTTCTGTAAACTTATATCTCCAGACTTTATTTTGTATTTGATACAGAGTGTATCTCAGCATGGCCACGTGTTCTCAATTTTTCAGCCACTCAGCATATCTCACATGCCAGTTGTTTGTTTTCAATTTTTATGTAGGAAAGAACTGACTTTGAATCTCGAGCCACTAAGAATATGTACACAACCTTACTTGATAATGAGAACACGTTCGTGAAGGTAAGCAATTTTAAGAAAATTTTTTAGCCATTAAGTTAATCCTTGTGTTTGATTAAGACTTTGCTCTGTCGTAATGTTTCATAAAATATAGTCTTTTATTAACATATGTTATAATACTGCCCCATTGTGTATAGAATACACGTATATTAAGATCTGCAAGGCAGCGCACTTTCAATAAGTTGAAGACGAAATATTGATCTTTGAGTTATTGAAAGTGTACTGCTGTATATTATTATTACTACATAATTAAAAGAAATAAATTATTCAGCAGAGATTCCTAACTTTTTCCCTGCACAGTTTTGCCTCTGGGTGTTCATAGAGCCTGGGTTAAGGGAACAATTCTCATTTTTATGGAAATGGGGGTTCATTGTTACACTGGCCATTTTGGGGATAGTGGCAGGGTGAGGGAGTGGGGGTTGGGGTATGGGGTTGTCAGTCCCGATACCTTTCGCTGCTTTTCAAGATACCTGCTTTGAGTTAGGTTATGATTTCCAAGCAGATCTGGATTTTGCAACTTTCCAAGTCAGTAGATAATTAAGACTCCACTTACTTAAAGACACAAAAAGAGACTGCTCAGTCTATTGCAGATTAACAAGCCGTTTAATACATGGCTGAAACTACGAGCGGGCAAGATGAAGCAAATCCCACTTATTATCAGGGGCAACCAGTGACGGTTTCCTCCTAAATGCATTGAAAACTCTTTTAAGGCTCCAGAGTACTTTTAGTCTCCTTTGCAGTCATTTTTAGGCTCATCACGGGAAGGAAACTAGAGTACTTTTAGATGTCCAGAAATGTATTGTAAGTGGCCTTAAGAAATTTTTATCTGTTCAGTCATCCTAGGGCAACTTGAGTCTTTTGGAAATTACAAGGGCTTTAGTATTATTTTCCATTATTTTAGATGTAATTTAAAGTTAAACACAAAAGTAAGGATTTTTCTGATGGGTCTGCTGTAGGTCCCCAGTGTGGGTCATAACAGCCATCTCTGGTATTCAGCCCAACCAGTCTTTGTTTTCATTGGAAGATGTCAGCAGTTAGAGTGTATATTTGACCTTAATTTTCAAGCAATTGGGCCCCAATTCCCATAAATCAATCCCCAAATAAACTGCTTGGAAACTTCTCCCATCAAAGTGGCACTTTACCCCAAACAAGCATACTTTCAATGTTATTTTTAATTAGTATAGCTTACATGTGTAAATAAATCCACATGGATAATCTGTGAGAGTACAGCTCTACAGCATCAATGGCAAGGAAACATTAACCCTTTAAGTCCCAATAGTAACCAACAGCAATTTTCTCCTGACGATATCCATACATTGTCATGAGATGAGGTTATGAGAATTAATTAAATGATCACCTAAGAGAAAATACTGTGATCTTTCATCAAATTCTCTCAACTCATTCTTTTTAAGGAAATATATAGAGATCAGTTTGGATAATTATTTTGTATGTGGATATTGGGGCTTAAAGGGTTAAAGACAAATATATTTGTCTAATTTTATTGAAATTGTGACAAAGAAAGTACTACTGACAATTAACCTTTTTAAAAAATGAAAAACTTCTTTTATGTCCACAGCTAATACAGAGATCCCATGTACCAAATTCTATAATAAGCCAAGGAAAATGTCTAATTAGTCAAACTCAGTTAATATGGACACTATGATTAGAGTTAAATACTAAAGAAATAAAAGAGGACATGAGCATCGTCAAAATAAACATTGCTAACCTTCACAAAGCCGTCATTCTGCGAAATTAGTCCATGGACACACTCAAAAATCACTCATCTATATATTACTAAATCAAAATCATTCTCTGCATTATAACTGGTTTTATGCCAAAAATAGTCTGAAATTGATGTCTAAAATTCATCCTATCCCGTGTACTGTAGCGTTGGGAAGATCGACATGCTGTCAACCTGAAGGTGTTTTCACCTTCAAAAAGGAAAGGTCTATTACAGTACACTGTTTATAATGAAGTGTCCGCATTAGTGAGGTTGGCCTTCTATGAGAATCTGTTTATTGACTCACGATGACTACCGGACAGGTTGTCGAAACGTCAGTCACTGTCAATTGAAATTGTGAACAGTCCTATTCAGGACTACATTCACTTTGACGATCATACTCAACCTACTTATGAAAAAGTGTCTGTTGTTCACATTAATGGGTGTCCGTATTAAGCAGGTTGGATTTAGAGAAAATGGAAGGGCTTTGCCCAGGTAAAAAGAAAACTGTCCGTAACAACGAAATGTCCATATTAATGAGATGTCTGTACAGCGGGATTCAACTCTAGTTCTACCTCCACAAATGATCCACACATTTTCATTTCAACAGGATGTTGACAGTTTCATTGACCACAGAGAAGCCCTTGACAGAAGGAAGAAACAGATGCTATTTAAGAAATGGAGTGAAAGAGTTTACAGTCCTGTTAAGGTACACATCAAGCTTCTTGTTATTGTATGATCAAAGAGTTTTATTATTATCATTATTGTCATGGAAAAAAATAGTGAATCAACAATAATTCTCTCAATATAATAATAATAATTACTTACAATTATTTCTTTCTGCCTTGAATATTAGAACTACATGTAATTGCCACAAAGTCTCAACTGTTTGTTTTTTAATGACAACATAAAAACACCTTACCCTCTTTGAATACAAATGCAAGATGCCTTTAAAATCTGAACTTTCCAAAAAAGTTAGTTTATTCAAGATCGGCATATCCATGGCAACACAATGATGCCATTGCCATTTTTACATTTCCTAGATTTGTGACAAATCTAAGCATTTGGACAACTGTGTCAACCAAACAAGGGTCTTCCCAAGTCTTGGATTTTTCCATTTGCCATCCCTGGTTGTAACTGTTTGGGATAAAATGATGGTGTTTTTTGACATACAGTTCTTTTTTGTAGGAAAAAGTTGATGAAGAAATGAATGGCCGTAATTACAGACACTTGGACAAAAGAAAAAGGCAGATTTACAAACAGTATCTAGATTACAGCAACAAAAAGGTGGGTACTGATAGAAGTTACGTCTTACACAAAGCTTGATGAAAAATAAAATGAATGCATTGTTTCAATTTAGTTTATACCAGGTACTTACAATTGTCTAGTCCATACATGTATGTTAAACTTTATAAAACATTAACTACTAGTAATGAGCTTCAATAAAAGAAAACATTTTAGAGACTATTAATTTATAGTGTATCAGTGAAAAACCTTGAACTCTTTGATTGGATTTTGACAGATCAATATTGTGTACTCGCTAGTTAGTTACAACTTCAAACTGCAGGAAAGCAAAATAACAGTTTGCTGCGACCACGGCGTGAAGACATAGCTTGATTGCTCGTTTGTTCCAAAAATGGTTGTTTTTATCTGTACACAGCCAGAGGTTTCTGAAATTCTCTGACGTTTTCTGAAAAATGTAAAATTTCACTGGCCAACTGAGTTAACAATCTCACACATTAGACCACATTGATGGACTAAACCCTCCCGTCAAGGTTATCCCCTTACTTTCACCAAGTCATGTGCAGCGTACATGAATAATTGATAGTTCGTGAACATAATGTGCAAAAGACATTGATGGTCTTTAAAAGCCAACATTGCCTTGTCATTCGAGTTCATGAACAATATACCATTACAACATGATTCCATTTCCGTAAAATTTACAAAAGAATTTTAAATGTTAGAAAACAGTAAAAGTAGAGGAAAAAGAAAAAAATAATACAGTATGTCCTCTTAAAATTTCCCTGAATTCCTTCAAAGATTTAACTTTTCCCTGACTCAGAGTGAAATTCTTTGTCCTTTCATTGACCTTGAAGAAATTTTTACCCTGACCATTTCCTGACCTGTGGCAGCCATATGGAAATTAACTTCAAAGGACTGTACAGGAAAACAAGAAGGTCACCTAAAAAATTGTACCTGAAGACAGGCATTTGTTTGAGCTCACTACACCAATAAAAAAGAATGAGTAAAGTCTGTTGTCACATAAGCAAACTGACTTTTTGCCCTGTTGATTGTGTTCTGAGCAAAGGAGGTAAGCAGCATCCCTTGCAGTCACTTCCTAGGCTGCATAAGGTTTACTGATCAAGGCATATTTGTTTGATGTTTTAATTTCGTCATGCTTTTTAAGTGTCATAATATCTGTGACTGGTGTCAGTACACAACCGACCTGTTAAAATCATGTTATCAAAGATTCCCATTTTTTTGACTTGCTGTTTATAAAGACACAACAAAGTCTAAGGGCCAGTTATTTAAACAGAGTTTAGCTCATGTTTAACAAAACCGAGTTCTAAGCCATTTTCAGTTTGCCCAATGCTTTTATCTAAACAACATTTATCATGAACAATTTCAATAAAGCATAGAGCATAGAGTGAAGAAGCACTTATTTTCTTAAATTGACTGAGTCACTAACAAAGAGAACTGGAGGTCCAATGATTTCTTAAACCATGTTCTTAGTTAGACTTCGTTTAAATAAGCGACCCTAAGACTGAGAAGGATTGAAAGGAAACTAGCCCAAACTAGCGTCATGTCAATGTGTACATGTCATGATCCCCTGCCCTCTTCCCAATGCTCTGTTGATCATGAGTCTTCCATGTGTGTTGGTTACTCTTGAAAGAAAATAATGATTTCTTTGCCAGGGTGTGGTATTTCTGGATGTGATGTCACCAGAAGAGTATGATCCACTTGCTCTTAATGCCAACAGGCCAGCCCCTCTGAAGGTGAGTGTGAGTTATGTCTTCATCAAAGATTGCCTCATACAAACTAAAATAATGATAATAATTATTAGATTGAAATTCCTGGATATAATTATTTACACATCGTAAATAAATAAAAAAAATAATATTTCTTAAAACATTCAATGAGTATAAGAAGAAAAGTAACAGGATAATACTATGAAGTACTAGGTTGTGTACAATGGAACTTCCATTTAATGAAGGGCCAACGGACTGACAAAATTTGTTTGCGAAAAACGGTTTCCTTATATCAAGGTTCTTTTTCATACAAATTATTTTGCTATTTATTGGGGTAAAATGTGGAAATCATTCGTTATATTGAGGACTTCATTATATAGAGGTTTATTAAATTGATGTTCCACTGTATGTTACAGGTCAAAATTACATTCAGGTTAAAAATTTTTAACCTAGGTTGATTCTCAATTTCCTTTGTCTCCCAGCCCTGATTATTCATGAATTATTAGGATTAGGAAACAAACAAAATTGAGCATCAACCTAGGATAAAGAATTTTAACCTTAACTTTAATTTTGACCTGTAACATATACAGTACAGTAAAACCAAGTTTGGTTTGCTTTTTGTTAAAATTTACAGTTTGAATTAATCTTGAAATCCAAGTTGAAGAATAAAAAAAAACTCTTTCATAAAAAAGAAGTTCTCAGCTCATAGAGAAAATACATTAAAGTTACATTGCATAGCTGTTACACCTTCCTTTATGATCTATTCTTGCAACGGTTCTTTTGTTATGTGCATAACCATGTAAAAAAAAGAGATCATTACTCCTGTTAAATCAAAGTTTCCTACACAGTAACTGTTTCAGTGGTAGTAGTAGACAGATTTTGATGTTTTATATGCTTTGTAAATCACAAATGTCACCTACAATTTTGGCCTTGTGTATCCTTATGTTTAGAGAGAAATTCTTTCATTGTTATGTAATAGGCAATAACAAAGAAATTAGATGACCCACTGATATCACAAGGGACCACAAGACTAGAAGAGGACCGTACTGTGGTGAGATGTGTGACAGGAAATAAAATGAGTGATAAAGAAATAGAAGAGATGCATCTTCCTCCAGCACCCCTGGTTCCTCTTGGACGGCATGGTACTAAGTGTAACACATGGCTTAGAATGCAGCTACATGACATTGACAGTGGTGTTAGAAAGAGAAGTGGGTGAGTTAAATGAGTACTACTAGTACTATCCTTCGACATATTTTATGTTTTGACTGGTTGATGTGCTTACAGGTATCAGCTCACTTTCCAATTACAGTGTATTTGCTGTTAGCAATGAATTTGTTTATAGCTATCATGCAGTGATTATTATAAAATGGCCAGGAAAATGTGGCAAGGGTATTTTTTTCTGACATACATGTATGTACATAGCTGTCAAGTTGGTAATGGTGTAACCCTAGCATACCACTTTGGGCAAGTTGTACATGCATTAAAAACTGCAAAACAATATTATTAAAGGATGAACTACTAGCACAAACACAAAATCTACAAGGCCAGGCCAGGCCTGGTTGCCTATCAGACACAAATTTCTTTGAATGTGGAGTTTTAAATAAAATCATTAGAAAGATGCCTTATTTTGGCACCAAATCTTTACTAAAACATTTTAGAATGTTCTGGCTTGATCTTGATTTCCATTGGCTTTGCTTTGGAGCTTTTCCATATTAAAGTTCTCAAAACAGTAACAGAAACAATAATTAAGTGTACCTCTGGGCTCCCAATAATATCAATGGCATCACTGCAGGGCCATTATGAAAACTACTGGGTAACCAGTAATAATACTGCCAACCTTGTTAAGTAAAGTTTCTTCTTCTTCTTAATATTGGTTTTCCATTATAAAGATAATGTTCCTTTGTGTAGTCTGTTGTACATTCTGTGGCAGTTACCCTACCAAAAACTGGCAAAGGTACAGAATAAATAAAACAAACTTCAACCCCAATTTTACTTTAATTTGTTCGCAGACAACGTATGAAAGGAATCTACAATGACTCTCAGCTAGACTATGAAGAATGGAGTAAACTGGACAGAAATCCAGAAATCATTGATGTTGAGTTGCGGTCACAGAAAAGAAGACTCTTCAGAGAAAAACATGCTACAACTCTTCAGTTCGACTGGCCTGAACTTCCAACTATCAAACAAAATACAACATATCATCCCCGAATACCAAATGTTTTACCATTTGGGACTAGTTTTGAGTACTATCCTGAACTGCAGCTTAATGCGTCATATTAAGAATGGCAATTTATCGAGGAGGCTTAGCTCATTCTATATGTACATTTGTAATAAAAAATATTATTATTTTGTTCAATTATCAAATACAATGTTTTTTCCAAACAAAATAAGATTACTATTTTTAGATATTTTGCATCCATATTGCAGTTAAAGATTTCTTCAATTTCATTATGAATAAAATAAAATTGGAAAAAATGTAGTACACTATATTTTGTGGTGGTTGTTGTGCTGAGAATGGATGAAAATAGACATGCAGCTACATGCCAGTGATTTTGTTACAAATAGTCGTGGTGAGTCCTGGGACTCATCTTGCAAAAAATCATGAGTCCCTGTCCAGAACCAATGAGTCCCAGTTAAAAAAACAATGAATCCAAAATTGGAAATGTTTGGGGATTTATGTAATGAGACAGTTAATCTGAAGACAGACTCCAAAACTCTTTACTAGAGAATGACAAGGTCTATTCACTACAATCTATTTTACATTGCTTTTCCATTGAAATAAAACGATAATATTATTACACAATGCACTGTGCTTTAATTAAAGTTTGTGCTAAGGATGTCAGTGAAGACCACTTGACAGGGTGAATTTTTCCACTAAAGTTCAACGACAATTTTTGTCAAATCAATCTTTTTTAATGCACCGCTAATTTTTAAAAGATCTTACCATTATTTTGCAAGCCTCCAATAGTATGATTCACTTTATTGTGCTGTCTCTCTTCTTTCGTCTTCCTGCACCAACTTTCCTCGTCTTTTCTATCTTCTTTAACTGTTCTTCAATAGCTTTCCTCATGTCAATAAAATCAGGGATATGAACGTAACGAATTTGCCGGCCTTGAATAAACATAGTCGGAAAATGCATCACTTCGCGTCCATTCTGTTTCGAGAACTTGACATCAGTCATGGAAATATTCATGAAGCCGTCAACATTTTCAATCAGACCTTCTACTGAGGACTCATTGCGTAGTTCAACAGTGGTGCTGTGTCCTTGTACAGCTTGTAGGAGGCAAACTAAAGTTCTCTCTGAAACAGCACGTTCCCTACCACCCGCCATATTGAAAACTAAATTTGTCCCCAGGGTCTTCTCAGTATTCAACATGGCGGCTCATTGTTTTGTTGTTTTGGCGGGAAATCTCAAGGGACCGACTTTACGATTTCTCCTTCTCTACTTCCGATTTTTGGTTACGCACAAAAATAAAGTTACCAAGCAAGTTTTTAAATTTCATCTTTACTCTCCAAAAGACGTCAAAAGCTATCAATCGACCTGAATCTTCAGCGGTAATACGATCCCCTTATGTAAGCTCCCTGTTTTTACCCGGTTCATAATTAGCCTGCGAGCAAACTTGGTCATGTAAACCACCTCCAAGATGGCGGGAGGTTTGCGTTCGTATTTTTAAATTCAATAAGACCGCTGTTTCTTCATTTGATTACACAAAATGATCAAAGGAACGCAAGCTGTGAAGGGAGAGCTCAGTTTTTTGGGGGAACAATTTTCCGATGCTCTCCGTTCTGATCAGGTGAGTTCACGTTCAGTCCTTATCCGCTGTCTGCTGCTCCGACACGGTCTCATGCCCTCGTGCCTTACGTTCTTACGGAGAAAAAATCCTATAAGCCTACTTGCTTGTGTTTCAGTTAGATCCTAAAGAAACTGCAAACAGTTTCTAAACTGAATATAATGAATTCATCTCTGCTCTGAAGTAGGTTTTCAAATTGTTCTTTCGGTAGTATATCCAGCTGATTCACCATATGCTTGCATAAATTTAAAATTAAGAAACTCAGAGTTGATTCACTTCAGCTTTTTTCCCCTCGTCTTCTTTCTTCACTTTCCCCAACTGATAAAAAAAACAGTGACTTCCCTTAGTTATCGTTGTATTAGGAAATATTTCATGGAGGATATAGGGACTAAGGACGCAACAGTCGCAACTGCATTCTTCTACATTTAGCGGTTAGTGAACATCAGCAGCGACTTTCCTGGGCCTAGGTTTTCGAAGGCCGATTAGCGCTTAACCTTTCACCCGGGGTTTAAATTTAACCCTGGTTTCTCTTTCTTGTGTTCAAAAGCATTTTTTCGCATAATTTTCTCAGTTATTTTAAGAGCTTCCAATCATCAACTTGTAGGGAAAAAGAATGAAAACTGAAATACTTTTTAAGCTTTTAAATCTTAATTCAAATCTCGCACAGCTAACCCTGGGTTAACTTAACCCTGCTTTGAACAACTCAGCCCTGATCATAGACCACAGCTATGGGATTGCTTTGTTATGCTCCAGAAATACCCATTGAAACACCAAATAGACTGGAGAAGGGCAGCCTGTGAGAGGAGATGCCATTTTCTGCTTTTGTTTTACACACCAAGAAACAAAAACAGAAAAAGGCATCTGCTCTCACAGGCTAGGAGAGGGAGGGGGTTGGGGGCGGGGAAGGGGGTGTTAAGGGAGAAACGCCAAACACCAGAAATAGTTGTTAGAAAATTTAACTTAAATCAAAGACGAGAGTTAGTTTGGGCTTGGTGGCTTGTTTGCCTTTTCTGATCTCTGCTGTTATTATTCATAACACAAACTTTCCTGAAATATTTTAGGTGTTTTGGTTTTTCTGTCAGAGTTTGACAGTAATGCTATGAAATGAATGAATTAGAATGGTAATTTGATGCAAATGAAATATTTGGACAGTACTGGCAGAGCTAGCTTAGTCGATATAGCACTTCACTGAACTGTGGGAGGTTCTTGGTTCAACCCTTGGGACCAGACCAATACTCAAGGTCTTAAAATAGCTGAGAAATGAAGATACTGCCTTTGCCCTGCAAATGGCTAGACCTTTGTGTGGCTTGGATGATAATGTATAAATGTTGGTGTCATCTTCATGCAGCCACAGACATAAAAATAGTGTCCTGAATAAGTACTTTCCTCTACTAAATGCTGTAACACTCAAATAAAGTGCAATGTTTGCTGTTTTAAGAATAAAGCAATAATCTAATGAGAAGGTCAATTTGGTATTGTATTTAAATTTGTGCTTCTGTCGAATGATTTGTTATTCTTTATTGCCTGATTCACTGATGATCCTCATAGTCTGATTTTCTTTTTTTTGACGTGTAGAGTCGGATGACATCAAGGGCAATTGAGATGTCTTCACAACGTCTTGCTAAATGTCCTGAAATTTTGCAAAAGGGTAAGAATGTGCACCTGCCAAATTTTTTAAGCCACTTAGTTTATTAGATTTTTAGAGTGCAAGGGTCTTTTGTAGAGGACCCAGCTGTCACTCCTGAAGATTTTGGAAGATGTTCTAAAGTTTATGAAGACACTCAGCTGGAAGATTTCCAAGGTCTTATTTCCCTTTGTAAATGGAAATTTCGGAGAAAGTTGAATCAGTCACCTGAGGTCTTTACTTCTGGCATTCGTTTGACTTTATTCAGTGAAAATATATGTGACATCAGGGTTGTCAGAAAGTTTTGAAGTAGTCAGCTTAGTTGTCAAAATAAGTAGCCAGTCCAGGAATATTTTATTTAAAAAATGTCATCCGTAAAAACAAAAGGCCAAGCAGAGTAGCCAGCAGTTAATAACCAAGTAGGAGGTGATTTTCGCCAGCAGTATTCTACTTTTGACAACCCTGGACATATGAGAGTAAAGCTGTTATTGGTGAATGGTTTTTCTGCCCAGCTATTGGGCATGAGCTGGCATAAGATGAAGTTTTGATCTGAAGTGAGAGACTCATATTAAGGACATGTGAGAGTTAACAGGTCCAAGAATAATGTATTGGTTGTGTACAGTCACTGTACCGATCTTCTTAGTTTTTCAATCAAGTAGCTACCAGTGGGCTGTTGCATGTAGGTCATCATGCCCCTGAGGAGATGCTGGTATTCTGATGGGATGAGCTGCCTTTTTTTTTGGAAGGTTGGTAACATTAATTTTTTTTTCTCTTTTAGTTACGTTTTTTAGTTTTGATGTCAAGGAATGGTTTGTTGAAAATGACTTACTTGTGCAACGGTTAAAAGTAAGTATTAAAGTTTATTAATTATGTATTAAAGTAGGTAGGTAGGTAGGTAGATTCTTTATTTAAAATTCGGTAAAATCTTCAGTAATAATAGGGTAAAAATCTAATTACAATTAATAAGACTGAAAACTATCGACATACTGTTTTACAAGACTGCCGAGGGAGAGTCCGACGACTCAAAAACATGTTTGATTTGCTCTGAAAGTAGACTTTGTTTAGTTTGATTTACTGAAATAAGTATTTCAGGCATCATAGAATAATAAACATTGTATGATGCTGTTAACTTTTATTTTTATTACTACCCTGTAATGTTTTCTTTTGTAACAAAGGAAGATGAATGCAAGAAAACATTTCTGGAGGTTTTAGATAACTTCACATCTCTGTTGGAAAAAGTTCAAGGTATTTAATTGCAGAATAATATTTATTATTAAGTACATGTACTAAAATTTGAAAAGGATCCACTGCAGTTTTCCGTTTTTATGTATGGCTCCTAGCCTCTCGCAGCCTCTTGTTTCCCTGTTGGTGTTGAATAATGACTCTTACATACTCTCAGTCATGATTACATTAAGTCTGGGCTTGTGTTGAATTCATGACGGGCACAAATTCAGTACAACTGATCCAAATTATTGTGTTAACACTGACAAACTTTATAGCTTCCATAATCAAGTGAATGCACGAAAGAGCACTATTATATCAATATATATGTGAATTTTCCTTCCTGGTTTGTTAATTGGCAGGGTGAGGCGAAGTCTGTGCCCCCCACTGTCGTAAGCGCTCACTTAGATCTTGTTCTCAGGTGCTTTTAAGTGTTCCAAGATCTAGAACTGTGACTTACAGTGATAGGGAATTTTCCATTGCTAGACCAAGGCTTTGGAATGAACTGCCATTTTCCTTAAGAAAGGCTGCTGATATCAATGCCTTTAAGCATCAACTGAAACCTATCTCTTCAAGAAAGTTTACCTTTAAAATTTGTTTGACCTTATTTCATCTGTAACATTGTCAGAATTTTTTAATTTGTTAACGATATTTAATTAGTTTATATTTCTAGAGTATTCATTGTAAAAAGATTTTGTAAACAGATTTTGTAGCATTGTTTTTTGCATAAATTATGATTTGTAAAGCATATGAACAGTTAGTGAAATAATGCTATATAAATATACTCATTATTAGACTTGTGCACGCTAGTCAGTCTGTGATGGTGCTGCACTGTCTTGTGAGGCTGTGTAGGCCAATATGCACAAGTGGCAGTTCCTACTGCACATGGCGCAGATGAAGTAGGAGGAGGGTAAAGTAAAGTGCTCGACACTAATGCTAGTCCACTAGCCCAGGATTAGTAAAATTTCACGCTGGGCTAGTACAAATGTGCTCCATGCAACTAGCCCCAAGACCAGTTAGGTTAGGGGAAAAATATATCTTCCAGAACTTTTTAACTTGAGAAGTTCTTTTTCTAAAATGCTTCGTCAATAGTCAGTTTAAATGTAAGCCAAAGGACTTGTTATCCACATCTTACAATTGACTCCAGTCGCAGCAGGGATGCCATGTTGGAAATGGAATTTATGTCTTTGTTTCGGTGTCACTTAATAAAATAGGGGCCTGGGCCTGGGTGGTGGGAGCCACTGTAAGTCTGTCATCTTGGAATTTATTTGCCCACAATGAAGGAGTTTTTACTTAAAAAAAAGCTACCTTTGAGAAAGCGTTCTTCAATGGATTTACCAAAGGGTCACTTACAGCATAAAGACAAAAGGGAGTGCGATAAGCGATCAAGAAGTTTTCAATTCGATTCATATGGAGGAACTTATGTGGACTCGAACAGTAGCACTCACGTTGAGAGATTAGCAAATCCAAACTCTCCTTTTGTCGCAGAAACAGCAAATTTATGTCTGTCGTTTATGAGTCATAAACATTCTGAACCCCTAGTACAGGGTACAAACACTTGTAGAGTTTCAAACCATCTCAATTTTTCTTGGACCAGTGGCTTGTCCTCGTGGGCTTGTGATTTATCAAACTCACTAGCCCAATGCCTAGTGTCCAGAAACATTAGTGTCAAGCACTGAAGTAGAGCTGTGTGCTTTTCTTCAGCTTTCTTGTGACGTTACATTTCATGTCTACTTTCTTGATTCCTTCTTTCAATGTCCATCTCCAGCGGGCACGATCACTAATTATTGCAGGATCTTCCCAGTTGTTTGGATCAATTTTGCATGCTTTGAGGTCGCATTTGCAAGCGTCCATGAACTGCAGGGTAGGGCGCTTGACTTTCCTGACTCCTGTTGTCAATTGTCTGTATAAAACTTCCTTGGGGATACATCCATCATTCCTGTGATGAACATGACCGAGCCACCTCAGGCGGCACTGACTGAGGAGGGAGTCCATACTGGGGATACCAGTAAATATGACAATTTAAGCTGGCCTGGTAGGGCTGATTGCACGTACTATCTTCACAACTGGGGTCAGTCTTAAACAAAACAAATACCAACTTGGTCGGGAAGAATCATTAAGACAGTAGTTTTGTACTCTCAGTCAAACCCTGTCAATACAGACACTTAGAGGGCCATAGAAAGCGTTTGTATTAAAAGGGTGTCCGTATTAAGTGGGCTGAATTTACAGAAAATGTAAGGGCTTTTTTTTTTCTCCAGGGATAATCCAAACTGTCCATAATAATCAGGTGTCTGTATTAAGCGGGTATCTGTAAAGCGGGGTTGGACTGTACTATATTCTGACCCTGAATAGCCACCGGTAAAGGGCCATTAAAATTAACAGAAATTTACATGTCTCTAATGGTTAATTTTTAACAGGTCTCCCACCAGACTCTTCCTTTATTTGTTATGAACTTGCCATTGCATATAACATCAGTCATTTGCTGTTACGAGTGGAATCAAATGTTGTTGTCGGCGGATGTAACAAAAGTGCTGTTATTCTTCACAAAAGTCTCTCCCGAGGTACCTTTAAATAAATTATTGTACTATGATCCCAGTTTCTCTTCCTCTTAATGTTCTCTTTTCCTCCTCCCTTAATTATTCTTCCTAGTTCCACCTTTTTTTGCTGTACCAGGGGTTGATATTTTTCTTATTTTCCTTTCTCCCCTCTGCTTACTCGTATAGTTGTATCTTCTCCTTCCTGCTCCTCCTTTTACTCATCTTCCATTCTTCTTCTCTATCCTCATCTTACCTGTTTGTTAAAACCTGTTTTTTTCTTCTCTTCCCAGTGGTAAGTCTTTTTGAGTTCAAATCCCACCCCTCCTTATTCGTGTTCCCTCTTAGGCCCATAGGGAGGGGAGTGCAACGGGTGTGCTTGCACCCCCCCCCCCCCCCGCCACCACCTTCCTACCCACAGGCTTGGCACACTACCGAAAGATCATGATGACCAGTAGACCTAGTGAATAATAATTATGAATTTACAACTTTCTTTTTCATTTTTCTTTTTAAATACACATGACATTGATATTGCCATTCTCAAAAATTGTAAAAGAAATACAAATTATTACAAAATAATATTATAGTTAATGCAGTCTCAGATAACCCAATTTCTTCCCTACATGTGGATACTTGGGTCCATTGCCTCATTGGATCGCAACCCGGGTAAAAAAACCTGGCTATGGGCCTGCGTCATTCTTTTCACACTCTCTTTCACTCTTCGGGATTATTTTATGTTTAAAAAAGTAATAATTTTGTTATTATTATTATTATTATGAAATTATTATAATTATTATATTAAAACTTGTTTTATGTAATCTACTCTATTTCAGCTCTTAAAGCCTTCCAAATAGTCACTTGTCAACAACGAACAACTGAGGATGGGTTAGAACTATTTAGTGCATCCTGTATAGATGACACTTTAAAGCAGTTTCTGCCATCATTGTTTAAAGCATTTAATGAGCATAACATTGGATGTGCCCCTCTTGTGTTATGCTGCTGTCTTCTGGCATTTTTGTGGTTGATAGATGAACAGGGTTAGTATATAATATGATCCTTAATTCTCATTACCTTAAAGTGCCCATCACCTAAAATTTTTTATTTTCTTATCTGAAACTACACCTAATTAAAATAACTTCTGGGAAAAAATTTTGCGATTTGAACGAAAGACGATTTTTTTAGAATTTTTTAAAAACGTTCAAATTTGCCGCCATTTTGACAAATGTAGACTTCAAAAATTAGTAAAAAAATCGCGTTTTGTTCAAGCCGCAAAATGTTTTCGCAGAAGTTATTTTAATTAGGTATAGTTTCAGATAAGAAAATAAAAAATTTTAGGTGATGGGCACTTTAAGTTAAGTTAGGCTTGATTTCCATGAGTGATATAATATTCTCACAGCTTCTCTTTTGTCCAGAAGTGTTGTAAGGAAAAATTTTATTCCGGTTACTCATTTCTTTTGAAGAATTAAAATTCCACTTTCAATAATGTGAAATGGTACATATTTGTGTAAATTTGTTGTATACTCTTCACAAAGCCGGCCTGGATTAAAGTGCAAAACTTGTGTACAATACAAAACATTACTTGACAGCTTGATACAAGTTTGCAACTGTTTAATTTTTATCAAAATTAAGATCAGAAAAGTGATGAATATCTCGCAATATTTTTAATCCCTCAGTGAACCAAGTAAAGGCTATGGAACTTCTTCTCTTGATGCAAAGTCACTTGAAGCATTTGGCAGACAGTACAACATGTAACTTCACTGAAGAGGTGAGAAATGTGTGAGCAGTGAATGTGCTCCCCCTGTAGTTTTTCTGTGCGATAGGGAGGGTAGAGTTTTGAGTGTATTCCGTCAATAAATCTGAAGTGTCCTTTGTGGTGATCTTCTAATGGAGTAAATTAAGGGAAATCAGCATAAAAGTAACCACTGACTTCTTGAGACAATCATGCACTGTCAGGTTTTGCATATTTTAAGGTTTTGTACCCAGGTGAGGTGGTTTAAGAACCTTAATTGACGAAAGTGTTGGGGGTGTTATTCTAAACCTAAATCTAAATCTATATATGGTTTTGTCGGCAACATCCACAAGGGACATCACGCCGATTCTAAAACACTAAAAATATACAGGATGATAATACAGTCAAAGCTCTTCTTGTGACCGCTCTAGTAAGCAAACAGCCCTAGTTACGACCACCTTTGTGAAACCCCGTTTGATCTGTGACATAGACTTGTAAGCGACTGATCCCGTAAGCGACCACGACTACTTCAATTTAGGATTACCCAACTATGCTTTTCCTTTGTTTTCAAGCTCTCGTAAGAAACCAGTTAGAGTCTTATTCATATAAATCAACATTTTAATGAAACTGGACACTGCGCAAATGGTCTAAAAAATTGGACGTAAAGTTTAGCCGTGTCTATATTAGACTGCAAAACAGTCGGTTTTTTTCTCAAAATCAGTAAAGAAATCGGTAAAGCGTGGCGTAAGAGTCTTACGCGCGCGAAGTGCGCGAGCCTCACACGCCCGTAGCGTCTCTCCCCAGTCTCTCTCTTTGTTTTCAGCCTCATTCCAGACCTTTTGTTTGACTGCTCGCGCGTACTTGAATACGCAAAAATACGGACTGTTTTGCAGTCTATGTCTATATCAGATATAGAGACACTCATTAAACGTTAAGTTCTTTTGGGTTTTTTTGTGAATTATTAATGAGTTTCTGAAGCTCTTGTATTAAAGCGACAACCCTCAATTGTTTTACCACGAAACCCTAACTAACCTTGACTCACTCAATGAAACTAACACGAACAGATCTTAGAAATAACCTTCAAAATACTCCGCAACAAAATTCACCGCATTGCAATGCTTGTTTAGCTTGTTTCTTTTCTTTTAAGGCATCGGAAGGGAGCTGTCCTGTTTATCTGTTTAGTCTAGAATATGTTCCATGCATCGATAACTCCATTGTAACATCTTCAACTGGAGATTTAACAGGCAAGGCAGTATATATCATGGATAGTAGCCTGCAGTATAGGCGTTATTTTGTCGCGTTTTTAGGCAAGCCAGGGCAACCGCGTGACGGTAAACGCGCCACGAAAGGGAGGCGATTATATTATTTCGCTTTCCGTGTCTAGCGCTCCATGCCCTCCCCCACCCCCCAACATCCGCCTCACACTTGCCCTTGCTCGCCTGAAAAGCGAGAAAAAATAACGCCTGTTCTGCAGGCTAATATCATAGTTATTTTTAAGGGCACGAAACGTCTGTAAAGTTAACGCGGTAATAAATGTTGATACGAAAAAAGCTAAATGAGGCCACCAACGGGAATTAAACTGCAATAACTACTCCTTAGCCCTTAAAAACAATTTGTTTACTATCTAAATACATGCATTGTTTTCTAGTCAATAAAAGGAGATTCCAATTTTTGCGAGTCGCGGTTTAGGTGAAATGCCGTGACCCGGAAGACCATACGAAAGTTAGTTCTGCTTCAAACTGAAAGGAGCGTAACCTGAGTATTAGTCCTTCCATAACGGCTCATGAAGAGGAAACTGTAAACGACGGCATTGCAAGAGAGCTGCCCGGGGAAGGAAGTCTGTCTCCCCTTTTTCTTTTTGTGTATCCTTTATTCAAGCCGGCAAACCTTTGTGTTGCAGTTTATGTTGGAAGCTCTCTGGCCGTGCACAATTCTCTGCTTTTTGTTCACAAATTGTGACTGAATAAATTAATGCAATGTTCCTATTGGTCAGTAAGTTTAAAATGATAGGAATGCTATTGAACATTGTGCATGGTCAGTTCCAAAAAAAGCTAACAAAAACAAATAACAAAAAAGTCTGTAGGGCTTCGTAACCAGTCCGCTTTATTAACTATGGTTCCGTGAAACCGCAATGCATGATCACTTAGACCTGGTAAAATGCTGTGCAAGTACGATTCGCAACGACGATTTTTTGCCCAAGAAAGTAACTGTAAAAGTTACTGCTGTCTAACGTCGAGATCGTGTTACAAGTTTAAGCCAGCTTCAAAAAATTGCATCACGTATTCTGCTCAGGCTATTTCGTATAACATACCAGTTGTCAATTTTCCTCGCCACGCCTTCTCAGAAACCTTTCCGCTGCTTTTGTTGTTCAAAACTCGCCCCGTGTAATTTTCTTTTGCCAGCGTATATTTCTTTGTTATCATATGACCTTTGTTACTGAGTAATGCTTTAAGCTTAAAATTGGCTTTTATCCAGCTTACTTTCACTCTGCGTCCTTGTGAACAAACTACAAATAGTCTTGATTGCATTGTTGCAAATTCATCGTTAGTCGTCGAGGTGGAACTATGGTCGTTCTTACTTTGAAACACTTTGTTGAGCTACTTAACAAACCTTCCGCCGAGGTACAAGTATTTATTGCGCCCTTACCAAAAAATGCGCCTGCCTTGTTGAAGTATTAAAGAATCCTGCAACAATTTTTGTAAGAAAGACAATTCTGACGAAGACGTTACGTTCCCTTGGCTCCTCCCTGTCTCAAGTCTGCGGAGACAGGGAGGGGCAGGGGCAGGGGCCTCGGGTCTAAGGGTGGACCAAGCAGGGGCAGGGGCGGTGGCTTCGGCAGGGTATAAAAGCTGAATCTAGTCGTTGTTTTATTTTTCATTCAAAAACAAGCTAATTCATCCTCGATTGATGCTAAACCCCCTCTTCAATTGCCCAAGTCCTCGGCAAGTTTAGGTGATGAGGGGATGTTTACTACAGCAAATATTCTCCAAATAACAGATGTCGTCCGTCGAGTTGTATTCTCGCTGTTTTTGCTATGTGTTTATCCAGTAGTTGGGCTATTTACTCTTCGCGAAACGTGTAACATTTTCCGCCGTTTTGTGCTGCTTTACCAAAACAACGTAACCTCGTCCCAGGGTTTCTCGGTTGCAGTCCATTTTTCTGCCATTAATGCTGTACTATTGACGCGTCCTTTCCACATATCAGAAACGTCTTTTACATTTGGTGACTGCTAGCTGGTTATGAAGAATTGTCCGTGTGATTTGAGTCAGTCAGAAACGGAGACATTTTTTGAATGGATAATATTATCAGTTATTAATATTTTGAATTATACTTTACCAGATAAAGCGTACCTGTTGTCAGTGGTGACAAGTTTGTTGGCGTTTTCATATTTTGTTAATAAAGACGATGAGAAAGTCCTGGAAACTCTTAACGATACTGCTGAAGATCAAGATTGTGCTTTTAATGACCTGTACCTTAAAGGTTAGAATCTTTCGTAAGGTCATGGCTATTTTTGTAAATTTAAACCTTTCACAGTTCATTATTTCGCTTATCAAGCTATTGAACTTAGCGGCATCAAATTATTAGAGGGCCAGAGCAAAATTAGCTACCTCTGATGATGTACGCCCGATATAAGTAATTACGTTTCTGTCTGTTTGGGCTAATTGAAAAACTGGTCATGGTATTCAGGGTGCAGTTTTACAGCCTGCCATTTAGGCAAGCTGTAGCTAGCATGTACTAGCCCACAAGTCATTTCAACTAGCCCCAAAACCTTTTTTGATTAGCAGGATTGATTACAATCCTTCTGTAGTTTGAATTTCCCCAAAAAACAGCTCTTGCCCGCCGGGCAAGTTAAGAACAAAAATCACTAGCCCGATAGCAAAATCCACTAGCCACGGGTTATCGGACACGACTTTCTTTGCACGCTGGTCGTAAATTACGCCATCTTAATTGCAATAGACCAAAAGAAAATGTCTCATCTCATTAATATTTATTCTTTATTTGCAGGATATGTTTTATATTTGCGCAATGAAGTGGACAGGGCAGTGAAGTTTTTCCAGCGCTGTGCACTCATGTCACTAAGTCAACAAAAAGCTGCTTCTCTCATCATGTTAGGCTGTTGCTGTGCAATTAAGGTACGTATTAAATCTAATGAAACCTAAGGTTGAAATGATTAATGCACATAACATTAAATACCACAAATAGTCCTTAATATTTCAATGTAAATTCGAGATATATAATCGTAAAAGACTTAAAAGTATGAGAATCTATGGTTCATCATAACTAGAAAATGCTTTGCGAAAAAGAGCAAGTCTTCATTTAAAAGCAGCGGACAGTTTATTCCCAAGAAAAGTTTATTTTTGACGGGTATATAGGTTCAGTATTTATCGCCTTGTCCTTCTCGTAAACAGTAAATCTAACCTTTAGTTATTTCGCGTCACATTTGTGTAAATGGCGGCAAAGAAATTTACAGCGCGAAGCACTTGCGTAGTTATTTTGCTTACTAAAACTGTGGTAAAGATGGAACAAAGTCAACATAGTGACAGTGATGACAGCTCGTATAGTTTTTAAAACCGGCTTCACCAATTTCTCCGCGCTTTCGTGTTCTGATTAGATTCTGCTATATGCCCATTGTTTTGTTCTGACGTCGCATTTTCGTAAGATCCCCATTTTATCTTTGGTGCTCGTTTCCATTATTCTTCTGACCTCCCGAGGCCTCTGCTCCTAAGGGGCTTAGGGTGGACCCCACTAAGGACCCCTCAGGCACCGAGGCCGGGTGCACCCTTAGTCCCAGAGGCCGGGGTGGCAATGTTAACCGAGCTGATTAAGTGAATTTTTCAGTAGTGAAAAATTAAAAAGCCTCTAAATCTTTTTTTTTTTATCTTCTATCTTTTCTTCTATGGTTGAACCGATTTTCGTCAGCTAGAAATTGGAACAAGATCTCAAGCCAAAAGAAATAAAGTCGCCAATCGTAAATCAATAATGCGTTGTTTGCACTTTCTCATGTGATCTTTGCCATGCAGGTTATGTTTGGTATACAGGTCCATATCTGCACTAACGCATTGTTGAACATGAGAACTCGGCTATCGGTTATAAACACCTTGCGGAAGCTCATGGGCAATTAAATAACCTCAAAGAGGGCCAGTTTCGCGTTCTGCGACAGTGCCAAATTAGATGTGAATGCCTAATTTATGAAATTTATGAAACTTTTTTTTAATATGAGAAATATTTTAGCGCAGTATTTTTTATCCAAATACTTTTTTTATTATTATTATTATTATTATTATTATTATTATTATTATTATTTTGCAGTGGACAACTCCTTGATGAACCCACATATTTTGCTTCTTCCCCTCCCCCCCGCCCCTCTACCCTCGAGGTAGCATCACAGTTTCTTGTCATTTGCTTTCTCTTCTTCAGAAACTAACCCGTAACCCTAACAGACCTTTGAAGGGTCGTGCTTTGTTAAATAGGGCGATATACAGTTACGGCCAGCTCTCGTCAAAATTATGTCAAATTCATTTTCAGGGAAAACCTCACACTGCAGTAGCCAAGTTCAGGGAAGCCATGCAAGAAAATTTCCAGCAGTTAGAAGCTCTCTTCAATATCTGTCTTCAGTATCGAAAACTGGGGAATTTTGTAGCTGAAATACAGTGTTTAAAACTGCTGAAACAGGTAAGAAGGAAAATGAAGTTGGCCGATAGGGAATTTGATAATTACTGTAATGTAATTACATGTAATTTTGATTTAATAGTCACGCCAGGTCAAGCGTACCCCCTAGATTCCATTAATGAATCGATAATTTGGCAAATGAACTCGTTAGTCGTTGCCGCAAAGGATATCAAATTTAAATCTGCATTTCTGCATGCATAAAATATTTAGCAATCAATGAATGAGGCTGAGTAGGATATGAAGAATTAAGCAGATCGAGGATCTGGGGGAGTACATTTCACCTGGCTTGACTGTAAAGAGAGACCCAGCGAATGTTGCAGTAGAAGTTGGTTCTTCTTGAAACCCCAGCTCCGAAAGAAAGGGAATCGGTCCTCATTCGTCATCTTGATTTCCAACAGTTGGAATTCCTAGAAGGGTTTCCTCTTTTTCTCTTTGCTCTCAACGTAGCGTGAAGAAGCGACCGTCTGAGAATCGCACAACTTCCTTCTTTACCCCTAAAGTATTTATAGCCTATAAAAGTATTTTTGATTCCATGGTATGATGTGTAATGAAATAATTAGGCACTTATAATATTTCATTAGCCTGTTCCCATAGCCTCCATTTTCTTTTTAGAAATCCTCGAGCGCGCATCTGAAAATAAAACCCGCGGAGGTTTTATTTACTGCAAACACAAGTGGGTGGGGGTGCTTCTTGAAAAAAAGGTAAAACGTCTGTAGACAGCAGGCTATCAGTTTATTTCTTATTTGTGTATTTGTTTGTTTCATTTTATTGTTTAGGCCATTCAAAGTAACAAGGATGCAGACGCTTGTTACAATGTAGCTGTAATTCCCAGTGATACCAGTGATGTTCTTGACAACAGCAAGTTAGGTAGGTAGCGTTGTTTACGACGATATGATCATCGCTTTTTATGTTTGATGTGTAAGGGAAAAAGGCAAAAAATAATAATTATAATAAAAAATTTAAAAAAAAATTCGGCGAGCGGTCCCAGGCTACCTTGTTAGTGAAAATTTGACCAGAGCACTGCTACGGCGAGTGATCATTTTTAATAACGTACAAAATTTGGTTATAAAAATCCAGAAGAACCCCTTAGAGGTAGTTATAAATTATCAGGATTAAGTATGGTTTAGAGTGGAGAAGATTAGCCGATAGACTAGAATTGACGAACTTGAAAAATTGAGGCTCTCTTAATGAAGCGAATCCAGCGAGAACTTGTTTTTAAATTTCGCACTGGAGACCTTGTGTGTGAAAAGTATTAGAATCGGTGATGAAAAGACAGCATCAGGTTGATTTTCTTGTCACTATTTATTAGCACGGTACAAGTAAGATGTGGGACAGTGGTTTTTTGTCTACTATCTTACCAGCTTACGGCATTTCTCGTACCGCTTTTAAGCGCAACCGAGTATAAGCCTCTTACTCACCGCTATAAGCAGCGTATAGAGTGTTTTCACTCACGTGGCCAGCATCTATGCAAATTTATTGAAACAAAAGAAAACGTTTGCATAAGAAAAGAGTTCAACTCCCACAGGATTGGTTTAGGACACCAACATGGCCGCCGTTTCATTGTTTTGGGACACCAATATGGCCGCCGTGACGTCATGTGAAAACACTCTATAGCCGAAATTTTACTGTGTTCTTATATTAAGGACAACTAACAAAAGAAACTTCCTCGACCGCATTCGAACCTACACACCTAATTGCTCTATTGCCCCATTGATAGTCTTTGTTATCTCTTTTTTTTCTTTATTTCTCCTTGATTAGTTTCAGCACTTGTGCTAAGCTAGAATCTTGAGACGTTAATAAAGTTATTATTATTATATTCAGAATTAACCGTTCCTCCAAGATTCACCCTTGCGAGGGGGATGCCAAGTACTAGAGTTACAGCAGAACTCGTAACATACATGTTGGCAAAGAGATCTGCAGAATTAGGCAGGTATGCTACTTTTAAAGTGCCTTACACTGTATTATTTAGAACGTAAGCAGTGAGTGAGCACGCTGTTTTACGTCTCATACTGGGAAGGGAATGTCATTTCCAGGGCCGTAGCAAGGAAAAAATAAGGACTGAGGCAATCTCCATGGTTGAATTCCCCGCCTAGCTATTTAGGGTCTTTATTCGGATGACTACGTTTAAACAAAACAGTGGGATCAAACATGGAAAAAAAATGACTGATGCAAGTGCCTCGGTTTTCCTCATACTGGCTACGGCCCTGATTTCTACTTGGGTCATTTAAAGCAGGGCCGGGATCGTGGGCTCGTACAGCCGTTTGCAGGCAAAGGAATTATTTTCTTGTTCAGTTATCTGAGTATAAGTCGGTGTGTGTTCCAAATTTTCAGTTATTTTGAAAATGGAACAATGAAATGACAATTAATGAAGCGAAATTGACAGGTTTGTGAGCTAGGAACTGTGATGCTAATAAACAGGTTTTGATTCTAAAATTTGCCTTCGTGCCCGACAAGTTACCGGGACTTTCGAGAAACGTGGCCAGTTGACCAGTGGTGTTTCGTGAACAACTGAGTTCAGTTAATAATGGAGTAGTAGAATAAAAGTTGTTTTTGTTGGCGTTTTGACCGTAGACTACGAGTAGTCCCAATTTTCCCTCAGGGATAGCAGAGAGAGCGAAACGCGAGCGCGCGTGAAAATCACCCCACGCGAGAAAAGGCGACACGCCGCGTGTCGCCTTTTCTCGCGTGGGGTGATTTTCACGCGCGCTCGCGTTTCGCTTGCTCTACTATCCCTGAGGAAAAATGGGAGACTACTCGTAGTCTATTTTGACCGCTAGCCTTTCTCCAACTACCGTTTTCAAGGTGGATTCTCCCTAATCTCAAGCTAGCGATTGAAGGGACCGTAATGTAGCAATTTTTTTTCTTCTCAGTAAAAACAATTTCGTTTAAAGCTGTCGACGCATTTCCATGAATCTATTTTACGGTATTTTTGCGGTATTTTTTTACATTTTGAAAGCAAAAGATCGAAGAAAAGATGACTTAGGTTCCAAAGAAACTGTGTTGTGTCAATGGAGGAGTAAAAACGAAAAACTTGATTTTATAAAAAGATTCAGAAGCGGACACTTCGAGCGCTTGCCATTCGTTAGAGGGAATTAAGGGATTATGGGTTGTGTGTGTGTGTTCATGTTCCCATCAATGACGGAGCTCCACCATTCGTTATATAAACCGCACACAACCGGTAATTCCTTGATTCGCTCTGACAAACGGGTACCACTCTATGCGTCAGCTCTTCAATCTTTTTACGGTAGCGTCAATTCAGTTGATAAAACCAACTTTTTTGCCCGACCAAAGCAGTTTTATTAATAAGTAGGGTGATGACAACACTTCTACAGTCAGCTTAAATGTCGTTGTCTAGGTTTGATGAAGCAGCAAAGAGTTTTCTTGAGTTACTGGCTGATGTTGTGGACATGCGCAGTTCTGCCAGTTCGGTAGGTGTCTACTGTGATTTTCATTTGTTTGCACTAATCCCTACAAAACCATCATTTCATCCATCACTTTCGACAGAAAATCTATCACGTAGCAGAGGACGTGATATCAAGGGGCGTTCGACTGACCTTATTCTGGAAAAGGAATTAACAGAATAATTCCGAATACCAGTTTGATTGTCCCGCTGTTTCAAATATGAAATAAGGGAAATGTACATTCTTATCCTCCAGCTTCCTGGATAAGAAGGCGTGAAATAAAATGGAATAATGACGTCATTTTCCAAGCGTCGCGGCTGGATTTATCGACAACGAAGAAAATGTCGGCCCCGTCGCTGATTGTAAACAAGCAAGGTGACGCAACCCGCTGAAAAGATCACCACGAGAGTAGACGGCGATTCCCGTCCAATTTTGCTCCAAATTCTCTTCTCAAAAAAAAAGAAACAAAAACAATATTCTTGATAAACAACTTTGAAAGTCGACGACTTTTCTGACAACAGGAAAAATGTCATGCACCCTAAATTAAGTTACCAAGTCTTTGAAAATCAACGAGAAAAATATGCCTATATCGTATAAAATTTCGCATTTGAATCGTGTGTCTTGTGTATCAATATGTTTTATTGCGCCTGATTTCATAGCCTGTTCCAGGCGTTCAGATAGTGGAGCGCCGATGAAAAACGGAGCGTAGAAAAAAAACGCAAATATCGCCCCCCTGCTTTACGTGGTTGACTTGTTTAGATTCCCGAGTTTTTCGGGGTCGAAAGCGAGCCTACCACGCAAATATCAGCGGCGCAAACGACTTTGTAAATCTTAAGATACACCGATTCTATACCTACGGGTACGGGTAGGAGAACGTGTTTACCACGCAGTTATACAAAAGGCGACCATGATTTCCCAGATGTGATAATGGCATCACCGTTCTACCCGGTAGCCTACCCGTTTCTCCGGGGTAAGACGACATCTACGCGTACGGGTAATTTACCCGTGGCCGTACACCGAAACGGTGGATCTTAAGGTCTCTAATGCTAGACGTTCACGCCGGAAAGAATGTCTACTGGCAGACTAGTATGGACCCGTCCACACAAAACCGTGGGTATTTTTGAAACAGTATATTTTTTACACGAATAAGCCTTATGTCCACAATTCAAGACACCATGCAGTGAATCCGCTCATTGAAATCGCATCTTTACCGTTAAGTCGAATAACGTTTGTTAACCAGAGTTAACTTAATAGTTAAAATCAGGGGCATGACCGCTTGGGACGCCCCATAGCTACTAAGGTGAGGCTTGACATCTGTATTGTATTCGGTCTTCGAATCTGACTCAGCTGCAATCAGTTTCCGTCCTGCTTTTGTAGTCCCGTAGCATAAACCTGCCCAACCCATCAGAGTTGTATCGCCAGTGCGGGACTACCCTACTCAAAGCTGAACGATACCAAGATACTGTGACTGTTTGTGATAAACTGCTGACTACTGCTGATTCAATTAAAGCTGATGGACAAGGTAGGATATACTCTGATGAAACAAAAAGGACTTCTTGTGTTCGTCATTATTACCGTGATCGTCTTCATTAACATCGTCTAGCCTGCGAGTAAAAGCTCCCCGGGGCGCTCTAATGGCGTCACCAGAGTGCCCTGGGAAGTATGCTCGCAGGCTATCATCCTCCTCCTCTTCTTCACAGTCCCCCTCCGTTTCCTTTATGAATGGTCATTATGGGAACGTTGCAATATTGAAAAAGTTTTATTTATTAGATGCAACGAAAGTTAAGTTTATTTAACGTGGAAAATATGCTTGGCTATGGCATTTGCGCTAATAGTTGTTAGGTTTGCCGCGAACTATCTCGATTAATGCTGAAATGCAGATTGATTTGATAATGAATGAGTATTGAGTAAATCGACTGATAGCTATTATACTAAACATTTTTTCCACCTCTAGAACCATGCGGCTCGCTTTTCTTAAAATTAATCACGTGATTTTGCGCACTTTTGTGGCATCAATTCTAAACTTGGATACTTTGTAACGCATGTCTTTTCAGCGTGGCCTATATATAATAAAAAAATTTGCGTGAGTGGAATAAAAAGTAAGATAATAACACAATTACTTGTGAAGCTTGGCGCTTCTGTTATAATATGTAGCTGAGAGCTAATTCTCAATATTAATTATTGTTCTCTCTGAGGTACTATCTATTAAAACCACTAATAGCTGTCCTGGAAAAGAAAACCTCATGACTAACAAAAATATCATTCTCCGTTCTTTTCGTAAAAATACATTTGATTCGGTTAGTGCAATTAGTGTAAAAAGAAGGTATCAAGTATAATTTTAGCATATATCTTCCCCACAGTACTTTTCTTTACGTATACTGAAGCTCAAGTATAAACCGAAGAGATATCCAAACATATTATAACTGTCAACTGAATGGAACAAACTGACGCTGCTGTTGGTTTTTTTTTGTGAAAGTTGACGGAGGCAAGCAGTGTGTGAACTCCAGAAGTTCAAAGAAAAGACGACGATCAGTGGAGGAAGATGATTTGACAAACGTCACAGACGAGAAACGAGAGAAAACTGTTGTCTGTGAAATGTTGATGTTAAAATCTGAGGCTTTGATTCACCTTCAGAAACCGCTTGAAGCACTACGGTCACTGAACAGGTAATTTGCAAAACATAAATGCACAGGAATGGTAAATGTAGTTTCCCACGTTGCCTTATACTGATCGATAAAGTTTGGTAGCAGTCTTAAAATAATAACTACTTTACGTTAAGGGTTTCGTATGGGTCATGGAAAACTTGGAAAAAGTCATTGAATTTAATTGTCGACCATGAAAAGTCATAACATTATAGTTATGCATGATAGATTAGGTTAATAAAATAAAGACGAGTAATTAAACAGTGCGATCGGCAGGCATATTTTTGTCTTTTGAAATAAATTATGTTATAAATACCTTAACACAAGGATAGCTATGAAGATTTTAGAACGTGACAGCTATACCTAAATTCATGGACAAGTGAAAAAAGTCATTGAAAGTAATGGAATGTGAAGAGCTGTAAAGAGAGAAGTTTGAATAGAATGGCGTCAGTAAGCGACAGTGGCATCAATTGACAAAAAAAACACAGAACGAACAAAACAAACACGCACATGTCTTTGCAACCTTAAGGGAAAATGACCAAATGTAAGTCTTTTGCGATGAACCAGTGATGAGTTTTGTGCCTTTAATCGTGGTAGGGTATTAAAAACACTGGAAGATGTGCAATCATCAAGTTACTGCTCTCCTCTTGATGGCGTGGAGAAAATTGGAGAGCAGCAGCCAAAAAGGAGAAGAATCGACTCAGGTTCGTGTCTAACTCCCCAAAATTAGTAAGTGCGGTCTCACGATAGTTTTAGCATCAACAACTAGAACATGAAAATTGTTTGTTTTTAGTAAGGTTGAGGAAAAAGAGGGAAGTTGAGCGGAACCCAGTGTGTTGTTTATGACTGAAAAGTATTCAATACTCATTGGTTATGGCTTTTTGCCAAATTGAAGTCCTTGACTTTTTGTTCAGGAAACATTTTATACATCAAAAAGTTACCTGAATATCATTTTTTAGCATAGTTCACGTTAATACTTGGGAATTTTAGGCCATTTTCATGTTCCAAGAACTCTCACTTTCGAAACGAGGCTAAGTGCAAAACCTTTCTTGTGAAAATGAGTTTTAGTTGCACGAAAATGAAAAGTAGTTTTCGTGTCATTAGTTTCGCACTTTATAGCCTCGCTTTGTGATAGATGGTTTTCACTCATTGGGCAGCATCTATGCAAATTTGTGAGAACAAAAGAAATTGTTTGTATAAGAAAAGAGTCCAACCCCCTCAGGATTTGTTTGGAACACCAATATGGCCGCCGTTTAATTGTTTTGGAACTTCAATTTGGGCACCGTGACGTCATGTGAAAACGTTCTATGGAGCCTTTGGGAACTCGGAAATTGCCTATTGTCGTGAAGATGCCACTACCTGTCTGAGCAATGGTGCAAAAATCACCTTGGTTTCCTCTTAGATATCAATTGATTTTCTATCTCTTCCTCTGTCTATAAATCATTAACATGTTTTGATTTACGTTCTGAAAAGATGACATCATGACGATGACGCAAAACCAGAGTTTTAAACCAAATAAGCTTTCAAAGATTAAGGTGAGTATGCTCAGTTCTCATTGCCACTTCCTACTACGGAGTGTAAAGGTTTTGAAGATCAAATCCTGTCATATATTAAGTGAAAAATGCTTCTACATTCAAGTTATCCCCAAGCAGTACCCTGGAGTGCCACCATATGATGCAAAGTTAACTAACTAGATTACAACAAATCATGCGCTCGGCAAATATTTGCCAAAACCCTTACATTTGGCTGACTACATTTCTTTTAAGTAGGTATTTTTGTATCTGTTCAATTTACGTGCTCACTTTCTAAAATGAAGAGGCAAGATTAAAAGCCATCTGGCTTCTCTTGTTCCGGACAGTCAATCACGTAGCTTACAGGCCAGTAGCTTCTCTGCTTTGTGGCGCATTCTGTAAGCCTTCATTTCACTTTCCTGATTGCCGTGATATTTGTTTGCAGGCTCGAGCGTATAACATGACAGCTGAGATCTTAGAAGGGCTGGGTCAGACCCAAGATGCCTTGCAGCAGTTGCATCTCAGCTTAGAGTGTTTAGCAGGTAATACTGTACTCGTCTCAGACTTGATAATTGTAAATACTTATTTTTCTACTGTTTGGAGTTAATCATTTGCCCTGGTTAACGTCTTTTTTGTCGATTTGTGTACAGAGACGATAGGCATAATGTAGCTGCATGAAAAACAGTCCTCGAAAGTCTGTGTTAATACTCTTTTTCCTTTGGTTTTGTTCTTTACCAGATGGGATCCCAAATACCAATTTCTAGGTTAAGTTTTACAGCGCTGGAAGTGTTGTACCGGGAGATGTACTGTGTCTTCGTAGCGTTTGACAACATAGTTTTGTTTCCTCCAGAAAACCCTGAAACAGTTTACAAGCACACTCAGTTGCTATTAAAGCTAGGATCAACGAAAGAAGCAGTCACCAACTGGCTTCTGTTTAGAGGCATTCAGCGATATCATAAAGGGGACGTGGATTCAATTAGAAGACGTTTAAGGTAAAGAACTGTGTACCAGTGTCAGTAGGTACCTAGCCCTCAGTAGACGAGTTGGTGTCAGTGACACGTAGTTACGACTTTCTGAAAACCCACATGAGAAAGTATTCCGCAGCTTTAGTTAAAGGGGTTAAGCTCACGTTGAAGAGAATAAGGGAAGATACCCCTCCACTGCGTTCTTCTGACTCATAAGGAATTCATATCACAGTGTCGGCAGGAATGAGCAGGACGCGAGATTTTGTTTTGTTTTATAATGTCACCTCTTTGGATTTAATATACAGTTAACACCGTATACCACCTCCTGGCTTATTTCGTGACCCGTCATCCCTATGTGGCCTAATAAAAAATAAAGCTGCTATAATCAGTCGAAGCCCTCATAACGAGTTTATGTTTATCTTACACGGACACTGTAGTAAAGACACAGCTCCATACGGCCGCCTAAAAAACAGTTAGAACTCATATATTAATTCTGTATTTCTGCATTCCGGGACGCGACCATTCTCATAAGCGGACACTGTGGAAACATTCCAGGAAAGCGATTTTTATTTTATTTTGCCTCTAATCTTCCCTATGAGTGTAGAACACTCAAGGACCCGCCCTAGGACAACAGTGTCTTGTTTATTTTTGGCATGGTTAGTAGGCCTATAAAACAAAAGGTCATTTATTGTGGTGGTACTTTTTCCCTATTTTTCTTTGATTCGTTTTCAATATTTATTTATTCATTCATTCACTTTTTTACTTGTTTTTGTTTTACTATTGAAATGCCTACGGATTGCCTACTTTTCTATAACCGTTTCAAATAGTCCGCCTGTGTATTAACTTTTATCGCTGAGACCGCCAGCGCTTAGCCTCGGTTTTACTGTGGTTCTTAAATGAACTGACCCTGCGTGGTTGTTCGAGCACTGAATAGCGCTATCCACCGGAGAAGCATCAGGGAAACCAGTTGCGTTACGCACTGAATAGAGATTTATCCAATGGATAGTGCAATCCAATGTTTGAACAACCAGGGTCTCAAACTGAAATAACAATTGGTATTTTCTAAAGGTCCTCCATAGTGGAGCTATTGGACACAGAGGACGTTACTCTGGAACAGGTGCAAGCGGTAGACGAGGTAGTTTTAGAACTGTGCAGTAAGACACCAGATATCCCCTTCTACTTCGTCACAAACTAACGTTTTGTTGTTAAGAAAAAAAAAAAAAAAGGAATGTTTTTTCGAGAGAAGAAATATAAGCGAGTATTTTAATTAAATATTATGAATATTATGTGACAGAAACAAAGAACAGGAGAGTTATTCGGTACAGAATTTATGGTTGCATGTTTGTTTGTTTGTATAGGTTCTGTTGCTCTTTGGATATTAAAGGAAAACAGTGCTTTTTGCGTGGCTTTCTTAATTTTCACCATTCAGTGATCTACAGAGAATTGGAAGTAATAACTGCTAAAGGCACTAAACAAACTACAGGGTTTGAACAAAACGCACAGCAAAACGTGATAAAAGAAATAATGAGAAGGTTTCAGGTTTGCCTGGGATCCGAATCCTTTCCTTTGCGATTACTTTATCCAACCCTCCATCCAGTAGCCCCGCTTAATATGCAAATTTATGTCAGACGAGCAAATTTCTCCACTAAAAACTACTGAAATTATATATTTGCGAAGTTTCTATATGTGCGCTAACAAGGGAGTAGTTTTGAAAGTAACATATGGACAACGAGTACAAAACCAAAGAACTTTGTCTACAGAACGAAGCATGATGGAGAAATCGTTTTACTGACTTAAGGATGCCTCAGGGCTAATTCTGGGCGTGCATAAAGTCGGTTTATTGAACGCAGCATCACTTTGGACTCTCCGTTGGAGACATGTTGAAATATTCCGATATGTAATGTGACAAAAACAAATAAATAAACAAATTCCTCGCTACTTAGTGACTCTCCCCCCCCGGGTTGGCATCTATACACCAAACGACAAACGAAAAAAAGGAGTCATTGGATAGCCTTTGTGGGTAATCTAGAAAAGTGGGATGGAATGTTAATCTCACAGTATCGCAAGCTATTTTGCCAAATAGAAAAGAATTCTCAGTTTATATTAAAAAGAAGAACGCACCTAATACATTTGAGTGTCAATGTATTTAGCACAAAAGTTCTAATTGAAGACCCAATTACGTCTCCTACCGGTCCTCCAATTTACTTAATTAATCTGATTCGAGCCACGCGACTGTCTGCACTACCTACGGATTAACTTAAGATAGAAATCTAATTTTTGTTTATAATCATCCCTGATCCTAGAACTCTCGTTGGTTCCCGCTAGTACTGGAATTGGGATAACGTCACTGGTTATTACTGCGCTTTTCACAAACATGCGAATTCTGAAGTTCAAAAGCCGCCTTCACAGCTGCGTTTTTCGCTGCCGTCAATCATCTTAACGGAAAGGTCATGGTTTGTGATTTGTGATTGGTGGATTTCGATCCATTTTGTGTGTTTGTGTGTTTCAAGGTTCGTTGCTTGTGATCGAAATTATGATTGACGGAAGCGAAAAACGCAATTGCGAAGGCGGCTTTTGAACTTTAGAGTTCGCATGTTTGTGAAAAGTGCAGTAATGACCGACTGAATTACTGCGATTCACTGAAGTGAACTAGGGCCGGGTTATTTTTCAGTATATTACATCCTTATATTTCAGTGTTTCATTTCCGCAGTTGAGCTGACAAATCGTTCTGTCATATTTTTTTCCAATTTGGCGGATCGAGACCGTCAAGGTTTATGAGCGTAGTTTCTACAGCCGAAGTAACTGTCTTGCAAATCCCTAACCAATGGAAACCCGGAAAAGGACGCCATGAGAACACTGATGGAATTAGACAAGAGAACGCCTTAGTTTTAAAACTTATTTTCTCTTTTCTTTACCTCACTTTCTTACCTTTCCTTGCTTATCTACACGCTAATTAAAGCGAAATTTCGTTTATTAAATTACTCGTGAAAAACTGAATATGGCAATAGTCCTTGTCACGGCTTTCGACGCCATCTTGACGAGTAGGAAACGCGTGAGAAATTACAGTGTTTGTGTGAGAATCTAATGTCGAATAATTTCCGTAGAACGGCTGTTCTGAAAAAAATATCAATTGTAAACTAAAGCTTCTCCCCTAAGGATTCTACTGAAGAAAATTGTGGCCTTACATGCGCTAGAAGACCTACAACCACTTTTTCAAATTTTCTATGCATTTGTCTGTAAGAAAGTCCCGGGAAAAATTACAGACAAATATATGGACAATCTAAAGCAAGCCTCTGGAGAAATTTAAGCACAGGTACGCCCCCAAAATGTTTTAGGACAATCCTTTGCTTAGTAGCTTTAGTTTACAATTGATATTTTTTTCAGAATCGCCGTTTTACGGAAATTATTCGACAGTCTAATTTAGACTTTACTCACTAGAGAAATGCCAAATGTCTTGATTTAGATTTTTCCGAACAAACACTTTTTGATGCCCCAAGGTAGGGAACGATTCAAGAAGGAAAAATGGTGTAGTCCTCTGCTGACTGTTATACACTCAATACACGGAGGGTAACTCCTAATCGTATCCGCGATTACCCAGCTGTACCGAACTTTTAAATTTTCATAGCATAGTTATGATCGAGATTGACAGGGTATTTGCAGCCATCCTTTTCCAAGACTTGCTCCCATTACATTGTTCAAAACTATCTGCTGCCAGGTGTACGAAACAAGTTTTATTTATTCTCACCTCAAGTAAGATTTGTTACAAGCTACAGAAAGTTACGTATGATTTACTTCGTTCAAGTTACATTTAAATCACGTTTTACTGTTGGAAAGGTGGACAAAGTACTTTTAAGAGCATCTAGATGCACCAGGTGTTCATTTTTTTCCATTATAGCGACGTCGGTAGGAGATTCGTCGGCGTGGATAATATCTGCGTCGATAGGAGATGCGTCGGCGTGGATGATATCGGCGTCGATAGGAGATTCGTCGACGAGGATAACGTCGTCGGCGTCGGCGGCGGCCCCAAGGTAAAGCCTTGGGATCTGCTGCTGGGCTGCCTGCTGTCATGGAAACACTGAAAATAACAGACATTCGTTAGTTATTTACAATGATATGAACATTTTTTCACTTATCAAACAGAATGCGTGCAAGTCAGCGCTTAGACGTTTAAATTTGTTGAAATGGTTGTGACTCACACTTGCTAACATATTTCAGTTTTTCAGTATATTTGTTTTAAACAACTGCTATCATACAGTTAAAGGTCGAATTCCTTGGTCAATCGTTTCTTGCCGCCGGGATTAGGTGAAAATCAAAGGAGTAGAGTCACCAATATGCATTTCTTCCTAAACTCAACAGAGGAAATAGTCACCTAGTAATGCGCGAAAAAAAAAACGGTTAAGAAGTTTGTTCGGTAAAGGGCGGGTAGGAAGTAGAAAAAAAAATGTAATGAAACTTGGAAAAGTCGACGTTTTCTTTCCTCTATTACTTGGAGAAATTATAAAATGACTCAAAACGACGGTCAGGTCTTTTTTTCTGACAGTGATTATGAAAAGTAGCTTGAGTATGTAGGCTGTACGAAAATATGAAAATAGTTTTAAATAATGGTATTTATTATCAATAACGGCATCAACTATAAGGAAAAAATACACCAGAAAAGTTTCCAGTCAATCAGTTTTTAACTGCATAGAATATGGTTTACCTTTCTGGATTCTCTAACTCTGCATTGTCGTTTTCATCGTCATCTTGAGAAACAGGGTTTGGACTGAAAGGAAAGGAATAGATTGTTAGTCATAAGCAACAATCAGGACTGTAGCGATTAAAAAATTGGAGCGCGTAAGCTTTTGAAAAATAAAATTTTTTAATAGCACTCTCCCTCGATTTTTACCAAGGAGGTACCAAGAAAGAATGAAAGATGGGCGATCAAAGGTCTAAAGTTGTAGAAAGTAACTTGTTAACGACTTCACTATCCGATCCCGAGGTTGGTGGCAATTCATACCGGCGGAAATATGTCATTTGTCTCTGCTCGGCTTTTGGTTTTGTAGCGCAGGGAGTGACGAAGCTTGGTGAAGAGAAACTGAGCATGTCTGATGTCATCATGTACTTGGGAAATTATTTCTGAGACAGAGAGATACGAGTGATTTGTGCTGGTCTCAGTGGAGGATTCTGTTCGGCTCAGTATGAAAATTAGTCCCTTACTCGAAAAGGAGTAAAAACGCAGTTTGTTGAATGTGTGGAATCATGCAGTTTACCTTTCAGGATCATCCGACTCGTCAATTTCTGCATCGTCGTCTTCGTCTTCGTCTTCCGTAAAAGCATCTTCACTGAAAATTGACGGAATATAGAGTTCACTTATTAAAATATCTCAATTCGATTAAATGTCGTGTCAACTTTCGGACTAAGCATAAACCAAGCCATGACTGTCGAGAAGGAAACAACTGAAGAGAAGGTGTTTAGCGTTTTTGCATCAACCGACAAACGGGAAAAGGTTGGCAATCACAGAAGCATCGAGATATCTATCGGATAACCAATATGGATAAAACAAGCGGAAAAGAAAATACGTCTTAAAATCGCTGTGAAAATTTATACTTAGGAGAGTTGGTTAGTGCGCGACCTTCTGTGCGCGAGAGGTCCCGAGTTCGATTCCCAGGTGTGACCACAAATCCTTCCTGCTACTTCTCTCCTTTCCATTTACTTTTAAGTAGCTTTAAATACCCGTAAAACGGAGCACTAATGGAGAGAGGAGGTTAAAAATGAGCGCACCATCGGCCTCAGATGTGTTAGTCAGATGACTATTTCGAGACCGACTTAAATTAAGGACTCTTTACCTTTACATCTTACTAGTTTTAAATGAAGAACAGCTGCCGTACCGTGGCATGGTTTAGTTACCTTTCAGGATCATCCATTTCATCATCACCGTCTTCACTTGCGTCGTCTTCTTTATCAACTTCATCATTCTCAACGGTTTCCTCAGGGGCATCTAATTCACTGTTATTTTCCTGGTTCTCAGGTGTTTCGAACGTTTCCTCCGACGCAACAGTTGTCATCAGAGCGCCAATGAAACAGGCAAGAAGGCCAATCACTGCAAAGGACTTCATGGTGGCCTAGAGTTATTAATACCTCAACAGCGAGGACAACTATGCCCAACTGAGATGAAAAACTTATCTTCTGAACTTGGGCAACGGTGGCCCTTTAATACACAGTTTCGTTACGCTGTCATTTGCGTAATAGGAAGTCCATTTTTGGGTTTTTCCTTAATTTCTGAAACGTCGCTTAAGTATACAGGTGTGCCCTGGGGGGGCAAATCAACTGGAATTTGTAATT